TCCGTTATAGAATTGTCAGCATAGGGCTCCATCACCCCATCCTGGACTTGTGAGGCAAGCCGCTGGAACTCCACAATGTACTTATTGATGCGCTGTCCATCATGCATATTGAGTTGCTCGAGCTGCATTTCCGCATCTCTGGAGGGGTCATGAGGTCCAAAATTGGTCTGGAGTTCAAGCATGAACTCAGAATAGTCATCCATCCAGTCCAGACGATCAGTATTCTCGTTGGAAAGGAGGTCCAGTTCAAACCATTCAAGGGCCATGCCTTTGAGATAGGATTGGGCGAAGTTGACCTTAGACCTTCCAGTACGGAAAGCATTGGGTTTGCTTTGGAAATTGAGTTTGCACTGGACAAAAAATGCTCGCAGTTTCTGGGGCTCGGTGCCATCAAAGACATCTGGCTCATGGACTTTGACCTTCAGGTCTTCAGAAAGGGTGGTGCAATGATTGTTTTGGGCAAGGTTGTTGATAGCTCTGGATAGGAGTACCATGACGCAGGTCCTGCGGATTCAGGCCATCATTTTCATCGTCATCATCATCATCATCTGGATCATTGTCCGGATTTCCACCATTCCCATCCAGGCAGATTTCCACCAGGGGTATCATCATCATTATCATCATTGTCATCATCGTCCAGATCTCCTTTGCCCAGAGGAGCTAAGGCTGGGGTCCGTGTAGGGGTTTCCGGATGTTGACGACTCAGGAGTTCTGAGATGCTTCCAGCAGTAGCACACTGGCTAACACAACGCTGAGAGAAGCTATTGAAGGTTTCGATGATAGGGGTAGAATCCTGGCAGGCAGAAACTAGTCCAGCCGCTCAGAGAGGGTTTGTTGTTTTGGTAGGAGCCATGATAGATGTAAGTATACTTGGAAAGGTGTGAGTTCAAATATACTGTTAAGGTTGCGTGCTCAAGGGGGTCAGATCACAAGGGCTTGGCCTCAGCTCGTACGCTGTGCCCCTTTCCCGAGTATGTGCCCTTAATTTCCGGGGGCTAGAACAGTCGTCTGGAGTTTCCAGGATTTGACTGGGGCAGATAACAGACGTCCGGATATTACCTGGGCAAGCGGATAAGACTAATCTGGACAAAGTCTGGACTAGAAACTAACAGAGGATGGACTACCCTTAAGGTAGAGTCGGAAATATAGTAGGATGCATCCTAAGACTCGGAATATGACAAGAGACTTATCTTGAGTCCAGAGGATGCAGGAATGAGCAGGAACTAAGATGATATTCGAACTTGAGTATTTCCAAGAGTTACAGGAGGTTTATATACTGTAGGTATCATATAGGAATCAGTCAGCAAACATAAAGGCTATGTATGAAGCATATGCAGAGTCTATTAGTAAGTAGGACAGATCACAAATAATGAACACCGGAAATGAAATGTATGTAACAGATCAATAATCAAAAGGGAAACATGGTTAACCGGAGTCCGGAGACAGGGGCAGTCTAAATGGAGTTGGGTGCTGATATAGGGTTTGGATTCCGGAAGGGAGATAAAGATAGATCAGATCATTTGAGATCCGGATCTCAGATCCGGATATCCGGAGAAGCGGATTTAGAGTTGAGAGTCCAGAATGGCATATGACATGTGCCATTTCTTAAGACTTCCCTACCCCTTACCCTAGCATCTCACACTTCCACATCAACCACTCATCAACCGCACTTCCACATTCCTGTGCTCTGCACACTTTCAGGTCTTTAGTATCATCAGCTGTTCTCAGTAGCAATTCCCTTTAGGGTTGAACATTCTTGCTTGCAAGTGTAGCAGCTAGGCAGAGCATCAACCTACAACAATATTTTTGGTTAGGTACTTTAATAAGTATCTAGCCATTGTTGTGTTTGCACATTGGCTTTGATATCCCGGTGGATCATCCCTATCTCATGCAGGGAATTGAGACTGAGGGCCTTCAAAGTTGGAGGTATAAGACATTAAAAACCAGGAAAGACAACTACTTACTATTTGTGCAGTCCACCTGCGACCATGCTGGCGGCAATATGAGGGGTGATGCTTCATATAAGTGTGTAGGTCACCTGCCATGAGGTCCTAGAGATGTTCAATGAAGTCAAACAACTCAAGTGGCTCGTAGGGGGAAAAGAACATACCATGATGAGACATATTTGATCCTTTGTCTGAAATGACATTTCAAGCCCCATGAGGAATCTGGTTTCAGTCCACAGCATGGATACTGAAAGATGCTTATACACTTCAAGTTCATTCAAAAAAACCTCTTTTGTAGACTTGTAGTTAAGATGGTCCTTTCAAAAGACCTTGAGACACAACAAGCAATTTGATGCTACGTCTTGAGCTCCCATTGCTGTAGTGAACCCACCCTTGCCTAAAACATGCCAAATATGAAAGGGGCCATAGGAGCATGTCACTGGAAGAATTTGGGACACCTCTGCTGTACCAGAGTGTGTAAAGGTGAAGGTGTGAGTAGGGGCTGGAGGGTTGGCCAACTCTGAGTCAGGGTGTCGAAGAAGAGGAATATCTGAGTAAAGTTTCATTGACATTATGCTGGGCGCATTGGATGAAGCACTGGAATGGAGTTCCAAAGAAGATGAAGGAGTGATCAACTTTTGAGTAACCTTGCCTGGTGACAGGGTAATGAGGAGAATGAGGAGAAGAGGATGGTGATGTGAAGGAGTAATGCAATGAGGGTATTTAAGTGTCCCCTGGGAGGGCCACAACATGCCTTAAACAGTGAGCTGTGAATGGACCAATTGTGGATTGTCTTGAAGCACCCACAGCATAATAATGGTGACCAAATAATGCCACCATCAATCACCATGGTGACTGGCACAATGAGGGAGATTGTGGATGTGTATACTGTGGAACAATCAAAGCTCACTGTGACCACAGTTGAGCATCAATTGTTGGTGCTAGGGATCTGCAGGGGTAAACCCATGGGTATCCAAAGTGCAACCCATACCCATACCCCTCAACTACCTTGTACCCATGCACCCAAGGGTACCAAAGAGTATGGGTCTCAATGAGGGTCTCACATGGGTGGAGAGTATCAAGGGTACACCTGTATCCACAATCCAAATTGTACATGTAGTTAACAAAAAAATGTACTAGTGTGACTACCTAATTTAATACAATACTGTCCCACCCATCATCAAGCTCTTTGTCCTTACCATCAACATCAGGAAGGCTCACAATAGACTGAATGTCCTTGTCCTTGACCAGACCTAAGTGGCTCCACAGGCCAACACAAAGAAGCATGTGCATTGTCTGTGCAGTAAGTCTGTTTCAAATATGGGACAGTAGTAAGTGTCCATGGCTGAAGATGCACTCCACATCAACTGACATTGCTGCAGTAAAACATTTCAATCAGTAATATAAAACATGCAAAAAAAAACATACCTGGGATGGTAAGGTAATCTAATGCCATTTGCAATAGCCACAGATAAGTTTTGTGGTGCCCATACCACCATGTGATCGCATCTGTAACATTTTCGATGTTGGTGGTAAGGTAAGCATCAAGTTCATTGATTGAAGTTGCAGGATTTGGTGCAAGAGCAGGAAGATGGTCAAAGATGTTAGTAGAGTCATCATCCTGCATGTTTGAAAAGCCATTGTCAATAATTAAAACTAGTGAGACAATAAAATCATGCACCTTATCATCCTCCTGGGCTCCTGCAGTACCTACATCATCTGTGAGTGTGACTGAGTGGGAGGTATATGAGTGTTTGAATTCTGAGCGAACAAGTCATTCAGCAGTTTCTGTCCACTGTTGCTCCCAGCCTGCAGACCTGAAGTAGGAGAGTTTGTGCTGTGAATGAAGAACTAAGCAATGGTCAGAACAATGGACAAAGTAAAGGAAAAAATGATACACCCATTGCAATCTGGTATACCTCAGATTTGTCTGTGAGTGAGTAATATCAATTGAGAGTGCATTTGGCGAGACCAAGCATGGCATGTATAGCAGGCTCCAGTAGCTCCTTCTTAAGGATGCAGTTGGTAAAGACTTGGTCCATAGTGGGTATGACCATAGCTAAGTTTGGTGTTGAGTGTGAGAAGTACAATGTTGCATCTTTGAGAATCTGTGTGATACATTGTTAGCGTTGTGAAAGACACAACCTGACTGGGCACTTGGTAAAAGTACTCAGCCAGTATAATGGTCAAAGCTTTGCCTAGCTGCTACACCTGCAAGCAAGAACATTCGACCCAAGGGAATCAATGGACTAGGCTCAAGCTCAAGAGATAAAATGAGTGAAAGGGAGACACTTCATGTTGGAAATGGACAAGTGCGCTTGCAGCTGAGACACGTCAATATTCAAGCCTTGTATTCATTCACAATGTCCAGCAACACGTACATTTCAATTATGTGATCTTGTTATCTTTCTTTTTCTTTGTACTTACAATCTGCCATTGATCTCTTGGGCCAGCGCCATATTTTCCTATTGTAATTGTCTCAGATATGTATTCACTCACACAAGAGCTCGCGAGGTATTTAGTTGGCTGTTGATTTGGACTACCACCTCAGACATTTGCTATCACATGCAATGACTGAGGTGAGATACTTATATTTACCTATGTCTGCCTTTACTTACTTGATGCAGGGAGTCTGTCTGTTCCAGACCCGTGTGAATTATATTATTCTTTCACTTCAGGCTAAGGACAGAAAACTATGTTCCAGGAGCTATCTGGTGAGCTGAGAAGCTACAACTAGGAAGCTACAACTAGAGGATGCTACTAAATAACCCAAGTGAATGGGGAGCAACCAAGAACTGGAGACAAGGGGAAACTGAGTAGTGACTGTAGAGTCCTAGGATAAAGGGAAGATGATTATATAAGCAGTAAAAATGCGAACATAACCTCAGGAAAGTAACAACAAGAGAAGTATAGTAAAAACTACCATTTGCAGGCTAGAGTCAATATGATTGTCACATTTGTATTCCAACCTTCAGCATGTCGGCACAGCTGTTTTACCAGTGGCCACTCATCTTCACTCAGCTCATACTCTCCCAATCCCAATTTTTACATATCTGTTATCACATTAATTCCCTCTTGATAGGTCAGTACAAAATCAAGCATATCATAAGTTGAATTCCACCATGTGGATATGTCACATGGGATTATTCTGACAGGAAGATCTAAGTCCTCAAGGACTGCCTTCCATGCTGGCAGAATGATTGTCATCAAATGGATGACTTTGTATGTGAGTTTCTGGAGCTGTGAGGTAAGTCTATTAGCGCAAGTAAGTTGCAATTTACATTGAACGCTATCACCTTTGCTAAAATGAGTTTTAGTGGACAGATACTGTCCATCAGTTGCTTGTGCTCCTCCTCTTCCAACAGATATAATTCATCCACCCATCCCTCATCATCATCCTTGCTCTCTGCATCTTTGTTGGGGTCCTTGTCAGCAGTTCGCATGTCCTCAATTTCTATATCTGTGGTAAGTTTAACTAATTCAGGGTCATCTGCCATGCTGGCTTTTGATTTAGGTGCATCAAACTCATGAATTAATGACTTGGCCATGAGATTCATGATGTGCAAAAAGCATCATGTTTGGCTCGTGTCCCCAGCAAAGTGCACATTTCAGTCTGCAAGCTCCATGACAAGTGTATTGTTTGACAAAGCATTATCTGCTGTGATGCTCAACATCTGTGCAGTCTGGTGAGTTTTTTTCATGCTAGTATGACCATTGTTAGATACCTTGTCTGATATCCCAAACTCATTTAGGATATTCACAAATGCATCTGTGAGATTTGCTCCACTATGTGACTGCAATATGTCAGTGTGTGCATGGCTTCATTCAGGTGAGTACCACTACCTTTGGCAACTTGACAATATCCAGTATCATGGAAAATGGCTGACCCTTGTGTTCCAAATGAACAGATACAGCCACATAAGCCCTGTGATTTGGTGAGGTCCAGGCATCCATCACAAAATTGAGCTCTCCATCATAATTCTGCTCTTGTCTTTAGTTTATGGAATTGTGTGAACTAATTTATCTTACTTGTAGCATCTGCACTATCTGTTTGCAAGTCTTCACAAAGACTTGTTTCACATCATGAGCAACTGTCAAGGGTGAAAGTATGTGGTATTTGGGCCATCCAGTTTTCATTAATGCCTGAAATCCTCAATTGTTTACAGTTTCAAATGGTCTTAAGCTCTCTGCCACCCAATGGACAATCTCTGCCCTAAGTCATATCAGTGACTGCAACATTGAGTGAAGACAAACAAACCTTGTCTCTGTCCAAGTGTGCTGATGATGTGAGTACACAACCTTTCCTTTCCCTTTATGATTGAAAGACATTTGGATTGATCTGGTGTCAAGCAGGCTCTTGACAACTCCATCTCATGCAGCAGCAGTATTTCAACACTCCATTGCTACCTGCAAGGCTGCTTGACCCCAGCATGATTTTACATGCTTGCACATGTTGCCTGTTGATTTCACATCTTTCTTATCCAGATATTGCCAAACACAATGTTTGCAGCCTGGCACTGTACACTTGAACACATGGCAATGACAGCCATTATGATATTCAATGCCTGGGGTAGGTTCAAAGAATGCATATATAGGTGATGTCCAATCCTTCATTAACCTTTCTACAGTCTTGTTAAGTAAGTTTCTCATTGATTTTCAACTTGGACATACTTAGCTCATCATCAGAAGCTTCACCAGGGTCTTTGATGTCACTCTTCTCAGATGCATCAGAGTCAATGACTATGGTATCTGTGTGAAGGGCTTCCTCTTCTTCCTCACTCCAAACTGTAGCACAATAGTTGGGTGCTGATGTAGTATTACTTGTAGTCTGTTCAAGATTGACTGATGCCATAAATTTCATACACTTCGATGTCACCACAGGGATAGGAGGCTTATCAGTGGCTTTCTGTTTGGCTTGGTTGCCTTTGGCTGCCATGGCAAGTACCTTCTCTGTGGGCTTTGTTGTCCTTTTTGATAACATGCTTCTGTGAATATGTGAATATAATAGCAAAATAGACTCGTGAATCTAGAGCTTGTTTGATTGATGTGGTACTGTACAGTTGTAGACAAGCCAGGGACCTAACAGTGGTCCAAGGGTCCTGTGATTGGTCCATGGGTCCACAGGTCCTGAGACTCTGACCCATACCCATACCCCTGCTGATCCCTAGGACTCAGCACACATCACTGCCAGCTGTCAAGTGTCCAATAAGACTTATGATATCAAAACAATGCAATGCTGCAGAAACCTGCTTATCCAAGTCTAGAACATCAGTACTCTTAGCACTGACCATTCTAGTCAAGTGCTGGCTGCTGCAAGGCATGCTGTTACAGGTGTTTGACTTCTTCTGAATATTTATTCGCTAGTGTTGCAGGTCATTCAGAATGAGCACTCTTGTCATATTGACTGTGTAGTTATAAGAAGGTCTGCAACAACTCCAAATCTGTGTACTTAATCACATCATGGTTCAAGGTGTAGGTTGTGACTTCTATCACTGCTGTTCTATGTAGGAACCTATGTGGAATGCTCAATGGCAACTTGGAGGACACAAAAGAAAATAAACAATCCAATGAGTTAGAAACAAACTCTCAGGAGTTTGGTGTCAGGAGCAAAGAAAGGAATTTCATGTGGAAAGAAACTCACTTGAAGATGCCTCATAGCCTTGTAAGTATATTTTCCAACTTCAGGTTGTTCAGATCTTCTTTCACCCAAGTAGACATCATCATCATTCCTGTTGAACTGCGAGATCAGAAAAAACACACTTAACACTTGAGGGCAAATGCTGTATTTTGATTTGCTTGTAGTGGTCAACATGCTGATGGTCTGCTTGTTTTACAGGCATACACAGTGATGAGGACTCAGGAGGGGGAGAAGGATAAGCCCTTCACCCACCCATTTTTGCCTGGTTATTTCTCCTCCTGTCACATCAACAAACTTTTCCACCCAATGAGTAACAAACTGCTGTTTGTCGATGCAGAGAAAGGGCTCACACAGGGGTATCTTGGGAAGAGCCTGCATATTATTCTTCATGTACTTATCCATAAATTCCAAGCTAATATCCTTAGCCAAGTCAGTTGCTCAAGATAGTTCCCGCAGAAGCAGTATTGAGATTTAAAGTGTGTAGATTTATGTTGAATAGAATCGGATCAGAGCGGTGCATGAACTACACCCTTGAGCGACCAGTGACACCATGGTGGAGACATGAAATGACAACGTTTAAAGGTAATAACAGAGATGCAACGTTGATGATTCAGATTGTGCAGACGAGGCCAATTGTACGTCGTAGGCGTCGCGGAATAAGTTCAACAGACGATGACAAGTACTAATAGACCTTGCAATCCAAGTCGTTCGGCAAGTGCCATCGCCATATGTTCTTGACATCTTGCCATCATGACTTGGAAGTAATTATGAATGAATCAAGTCCTGAAGACCACGGAAGTGCCCGTCCATGTAGATGCACAATATTGTCACGCACCCATCCAAATGTCTCTCCCGTTCACCTGGGTTACCTCGAAAACCTCCATTGTTCGGCTGCCAGTTCAACTTTTACGAAACGCAAATATTCTTACTCATCCGAGTCGTCCAACGACGAACCAAAGTAAGTACCATCCCAATAACCTTTAGAGGAACCATCAGCTCGGGAAGTTTGGTCAGCCCACCCCTACTCTTCACTCAAGTGCGCCACCTTTGGCGAACCATTGCAGTCAATCAGCATTTGACTCCAGACATACCAGAAGTTGAGAGCACCTTGACGGCGCTTGCAGTGCAGGATCTTCCGATATACGAGTGATGAAATCGTTACATCACCAGCCGTTCGAACAAGCTTCTGAAGGAGCGCATAACTATTATCTATCCATGCAAGCCGCATCAGACCAATTCTATACGTTGCACGAGCAAATGTTTGCTAAAGGGGATGCCTGATTACCTTGTAATTCATCGGGTGCCAATGTAAGACTATCATTCTCTGATCAGAAGTTTCGAGAGCATATGCAAGCTTACTAGCCCAGAAGTAAAGTATCATCAGATTCAAACAACCATCCCTAGCCCGATCATCCGTGAAATTAATGTGGTCACCATCGACACAGCTGTTATTCAGATTGTTTCTGCGGTCCAGAAGTCCCGCAGCTCCGTTCTAGTTCTTCTTCGTTCCTAAGGCGCGCTGTGGCAGCTTCCAGTGCTCTTTTCCGACGGTCTTCCGTGGTATCGTTACTTCGAATGCCTGTGCCTCCTAGAACGTGGGTGAGTGCCTCTACTTCTTCGTCCGACGACGGCTGATAAGTGTCTTGTAAATCAGAAAGTTGATATGTCCCTGCTCCTGCTGCAGCCTCAAATTCTGCAACCTCACGATTGAGCTGAGAATTCAGCTCTTTAAACTAGGAATATACGACTGTCGTGTGAACAGGATATTAGAAGATGGAGGTTGTGACTCACATCATTGTTGTGCTCGCCCCATACATTGTGCGCCAGCTCATGGCACAACACACGCCTGACCTCCAAATACGGACGAAACCCATCATATGTGTCAAGCCGAATTCGCAGCTTGATGATAACTCCACTCCCAACGTTACGACCTAAAAGTCCAGGATGCTCATGTGGTGCGAGCTCGGTAAGCAAGCCCACAGAAAAATGATGCTTCTGCATGACATATAGGACTGCAGGGTCCTTGGAAAGCGTCGTGAGACATTCCGTCGCTGTTTCAGGTCGCGGCAGATGAGTGAGCGGTTCTATACGGTGAAAGCGGTACTGGTGTGACGAAGTAGACGATGACCCTGTCGAACGAAGCTAATTGCCTCTCATCATGATTGATAGTCTTGATGATAAGAACGAATGTCAAGACGTACCTTTACCTGTGGCTTCAGCGCCCTCTCTCTAAGTATCTGCTCTTTCCTCTGATGTGCCGAGTTAGCTGCTGTCAGTTGTCCGAGTTCTTCTACTGTCGAGCCAAGCATTTGCACTTTGAGGCCATCGCGAAGACCTGCTTGGGCAATGGTGAGTTCTGGGTCGGAGTCATCCTGCCGATGCTGAATTTTCTTTCCTCTATAAATGAGCTTTTGCAACGATGGCGGAACAGAGGTGAGGAGCTCGAGACGAGAATGGAGAGCAGAGAGGGGGGCGTCACTTGGGAGGAAAACAGTGTGTAATGTCCCACGAAAGGTAACGGCCAGTACGATATCTTCATGGGACATGTTTCCTTCGGCTGTCTGGTGATAGTTGCTAGTCGAGTTGTAATCAGGCCTGCGGGATCAGCCTGACCAATATTGAATCAGGCTAATGAGGTTGTACTACCGGGTTACCGGCGCTATGAGAACCGATTACCGGTCACCCGGGCCCGTTTGGAAATACGCACATGGATAGATAAATAAAATATTGGAAGGATACAAACATGAGTGTTGCATGCAACAGGGTATGGTGTACTGCGCAGTAGAAATGGAATTCTAATCCGAACGTGGTAATGCATACGACTTGAACTTGAAGTCAACTTCTCTACTTATAATGTGTGCAATATTTCTCCTATAAAGTTCCATAACCGCCTTCACAGTATTCTCAAAGTTAGAGTCATGAGCCAAGTGCATATCGAGTCCTTTAAAATAAATCATGATAGACCTTACTTTTACACCTAGCTATTACATACAAGCATGATATATGCTGAAACTTTATGGATCTGATAGTACATAGTTACATAGAAAAATTGAGCCCTGAACTGCTTGCTCCCATGAAGTAAGAATTTTTCTCGGACGAGAGCCTGGACGAAGGACTCCACTCTACCTACCTTCCTAAGTTGGAACATCATGCGCAGGAGTCCATCTCGTGCTGCTCCAATATCGGCGGCGAAGTCCAACAGACGCAATCCTCGAATGTCGTACTGACATGTACACAGTTGTCATCGGCATGCGTATCCCAAATGCTTATGATAAGACGTGGCACGATGATAAACGGCGCGGTGTCGTTAAACAACAGTACGAGATTCATCGCCACCGTCTGTACATGCCTACATCAGAGCAGATCTTTCTAGAATCACAGGAGATCATACCGAAAGGTCGGCCCACAATATCGCCATGAAGATTTGACTTGCTAAATTCCTAGCGTGTTTCAATGAATCCTTTCAGAGAACGCAACGAACGAAGGGAAACTTACAGGACAAAGTATATGACATGATATCGGACGATCATGACTATATAGGCGTTGGGTTTCATTCTAAGTTCCTTCCGTTCTCTCAGGTGCTTCCCGAGGACAACAATAGCGAGCATAACTAGGAAAATATCATAGCATATGACGGGGATGGAAGCATATATCGCAGGCATAGGCCCGACGTGGAAGACAGCCATGCAGTACTTGATTTCTGGAGTTATTGTTACTTCTTGCACTATAGGCCAAGGCATCAGCTTGCACAGAATTCGATTAAAGCAGAAATTCACCTGAGATTGCTGAGGGTCGACTCCATAAGAATATATCCATCGCTATATAGATCGCGATGATAGGTATGAATAACCCCAGTAGAACATAAAGTATGAGCTTGGATTGGTTGTATACGGCGTAAAGACGCCAGATGAGAATAACTGCAAATGCAAAATGGGTACGCGTCAAGGTACGAGAACGTATGCATATGACCGTGACTTGCCTTCCGCCAAGCAATAATATACAGAATAACTCCATTGCATTAACAGAAATATACCATAACCTATTTCAATTTCATGATAGACAAAGCTAGTTTCAGTTGAATACGATATACTCACAACTAAACAAGAGGTCAGCAGCAGATCAGGCTTAGCTGTAAAACGAACTTCTGACGTACGGCTGAATCTGGGTCAACCTAGAATTCTCTAAAGAAAGAACAGATACACTCACTGCTTCAGGCATATAAAATAGACCTCCCCCTGGCGCTAGTCAGTCAATGACGGCTCAGTTAGTATCACGTCACGTACAACAGGCACCAATCCTAGACGACAACGTCAACATGCAATGTACCATCTGAAGGATACCACCACCACGACGTACATTGCAAGGAAAATACCAAAATATCGAACCTGACATAGCAACAAAAATGGGAAATCACGAAGCACTTGGACATGGTGGAACTCACGGCAAGGTATAGATATGTCATCACTGACCACTGTCTTTGCTACATATCCAGTCAGTTCCGGGCCTTGATTTCGTTGGGGGTAGAGCTCTAACCCAAACATATGTGACCTGTGATGATATAATCGTGAGTACTCGACGAAGACAAAACGAGCTCCTCGTTACCTCTTTCTCGAACTGAAGCACTGGATAATATCATGCTCAGCCGCATTACAAGGTTTACGAAAGCAACTGACTGTACTCATAGGATATCAGGGTAATGACTGCAACTGGAAAACGATGAGGTTCAGCACAATGATTTATTTCCAACAAGGCTGACGAACCTGATATAGCGTTATTCCAGCTAAGAGCATAGAGAGATCCTTCTAATTCCGACATGAAACTGTGCAGATGAAATGATGAATTCAAAGAGTGAGTGATGGACTGCTGATCACCAAGGTATGATACTTATAGGGCAGCGTTGACTTGTAAGGGTTGCAAACTTGTGACATCCTAATGAAAATTGTACGACATGGTGCCAAGCTTGGGGCGCCGCACTTTTCCATTTAATGTCACGAATTACTATCCTCGATAAATCGTTGCCAACAGAAAGGTCCGACGGAAGGTCGTGTACATTGATGATCACACGGCTGACAACTTGAGACTTGAAACTTGAAGGGTCACTGTAACCATTGTCATGCGGTGTACGACGTGTGCAGCTAATTTTGAGCATCCCTATGAAATGTTAACACAATCTGGTGACGCCTTTATAAGTCAGATGGCACACCTACTACAACCTAATACACTACAGTGTGTATACATGGGAACGCTAAACCTTAACCTTAACCTTATTTCTCCAGCAAGGCCCCGATTTACCGCTCAAGCCTGTCAAGGTCGGACTACGTATAACGTACATAACGACTGCGGCCTGCTTGGCCCTCGTGATCTGTTTCTAGTTTTGAACTATTATTCCACCCTCCATCGAGTTACATACTCTAGGACTCGCAGTGGTATCAACGATGAGCTGGGTGTCTGACACGCAAGCCAGTCTGCAAGGGCTATTGAACGTCACGGCAGATTCCCTGGCAGAGTACTGCGGATTGACTGGCAATCAGCAGGAAAATTCAGTGTTTCTCGAACGACAGGTTCGTATCCTACTGGCAACACCGTCATCCTCACCGTTTTCATCTGCACATTTAGCTTGGTTTACTCCAAAGGAATCCATCCCAAAGCGTGATCAATTCGTGCGTTCAGCAGCCAAGGTGGCCTCCTTTCTGTCAGATTCCTTGGCTGAACCATAAGTTTCTATCTTGCTTCTGTCAGTGAATTTTGCGCCAAGTATCTCCCAACCCTCGTGGACGCCTACAATGCCCAGGATGCAGCTTTCAGCGTACCCATGAGAATGCTCAATGTCGTTGCTTACCTGTAAATTTTCTTTGACCACTTGTCCCACTCCATTCACTACATGGCTTCCAGACCTTACTTTACTAGGTTTCTATTAACCACGGCCAAAACATCGATTTGTAAGACTCAAGCGCGTCGCATGGCTGCTGCATCTTCAGCTCCAGCAGATCCTACATCCCTCGTAGAAATGTGCCAATTTCTCTCGACCCTCTTAGCCCTGGAGGGCCCGAATCCCATCAGCGAGGAAGATAAGCAAGCGCTTCTCCCCAAACTACGTGAATGGGATAGGAAGTACCAGAGGCAACAAATCACGCGTTGCCTCAAGCAGCTGGAGGGCGATCCGTGAGTTGCTTGTTTCGTCGCTGAGAAAGGTAGTGACGAGCCCCAATCAAGGGAGACAACGCTCATAGCAGATGGCCTGAAACAACACTGTGAAAGGTCTCTTAATCAATGTGGCTTTGACGGCTGTGGAAAGTCCGGAACCTCGAAGCTCTTGCAATGCTCTCGGTATGATCGTGTTCTCATTCTTTAGTTCACCTGGATCTCACTACGCTACAGGTGCAAAACGGCTGTTTATGCAAGTGCCTGCACGTTGTTTCCTGTGTCTATCTCACCCTGTTTTACCCACAGTGCGACCGTGATCATCAGAAGAAATCTTGGCCGTTTCATAAGGCAACGTGTTTCCCAGCGGCCTTTTGAGAAACATGTGGAACTCAGATTACGGGTTAGGACTTGGTACAGCCAAGAGATATCTCTGTAGCATATTCACGTCTGACAACCGGTCTTTTGAACTTTATTTCGTCAAGTGGTAAGGAGCAACTTTTCAAAACACATGAAATAAACAGACGTTCAAATGTAACATACATCAGCATTTTACCCGCGAACGATTAAACCCTCGTCTGCGCATAAATACCGAGAGAAGCCCCCGGTAATGAACCTGATTGCTCGACCGACATAGCCACATCAACATCAGCAGAACCTTGCTCCTTGATAGAACCAGAGCTTGTGACCTCCGTCACAACATCCTCCTTTTTATGAGCAAGTAAATCTGCAGCCGTTTCCATCTCTGCTAAGGCGCGCCTAGAAGCAACGTGTTCCCGTGAAATATATGAAGGATAAGGAGAGGACTTACTGGAAAGCTTCCCGGCATTGCTTCTTAATCCTGGGTGTTTTCCACTTTTGGACCATCGAAGTTGGCGAAAGTAGAGATGCGTCGACCGCTAATGAGAGAGTCAGCGGTGACGAACACAAAACGCCGTCGGCACCTACCATTATCCTCACCCAGTAATAACATATTGCCAATGGCGACCCATGTCCTGTTCGGATAATCAGTAAAATTCAACTGTTCGTTTTCGGAAATGTACCATGACATCGTGGGGTCATAAAATTGTACGACATGACGTGAATTATCTTGAGGCCTCTTCTTCCTGACGTCCTCTGGAATCATTGGGTCATCTGGTTCCCAAACGACTGCAGGCCACCAGGGATACGTGTCTAATATGAAATGATATCAGCAAGAGTCTGTAGACTGCCAGATTCCGTTCATGAAGGTCTGACCTGCTTTAGCCCAAACTGACATGGAACCGTGGTCAAATGAGAGTACCTGTGAGAGTATTGGCTGACCTACCAAGAGTGCCATTTTCTAACTGTTTCCCCGGTTCAAGGACAACAAGAGCTCTTCCTGAGGTAACGAGAGTGGCTGGCGCGCGTTGCGGTTGACGCGTTCCGACGAGTTTTACTTCGGGTATGGCATTGGATGTAGTCGCCTTACCCCGTGCCACAGGCTTCTCATCAGTATCACTGTCCAGCTCGCTCAGAGAGGATAAATCAGATACGTCATCTTGAGTGGTCCCGACATTGGTTTTCGTGATCTCGACTTTGGCTGGCGGAAGGCCTTGAGCAGCAGCAGTAGCTGCCGCCGTCGCCGCGGCCTTTTCTGCTTTCCGCTGCCTTGCCTTTTCCCGCCGAAGTTTGGGCGTGTCTAGCTCCTCCACAACAATTTTCCCATTCTCGACATTGATCGTCGTGTTTGGTCGAATGGGGATCTTGGCTATCCGCGCTTCTAACTCTGACCGTGTCTCCTCCCTGTCCTCTTCTAACACTGTGGCCCCCGGCTGGATTATTGCCTGCAGTTGAACTTCAGTAGTTCAGGTCCAGGTTCAGGCTCTGGCTGTAGTTGCCTCTCCGTTTCTTCCTCCTGGTGTTTCTCTGGAATATTGAGAGCTATGGATGCCTCCATCTCCTCATTGGTGCCATGGCCCAACTCTGCCTGCGCATCCATGTCAAGGGCAGCAGCACTTGCCTCGGACATTACTCCAAACTCGACATCCATCTGTGCTTTCTCTTCTACAGACAAGCCAGAAGGCCCAGAAATCTCGTCTAGAGTCTGATTATCCGATGCGTTTGTGCTGAATACAGACAACCTCGACGTCCCACGATCTTCATTGCGACGGTCAGTTTGAGAAAACAGTAAAGGGGATCAACTTACCCATCTTCTTTTTCTTCGGTGGAAGCGGAGCCCTCTCCACAGGCTGGCGTCCGCCCCTTCGTTGTCCTGTCGGTAAAATCCATCCGGCATCGAACATTTTGAATAATCCCTGACTGTCTACATCTGTGACCATGGGTGGCGTTTCTACCTGCCCAGGCATTGCACTCTGCCGGCGTCGTTTCTTCGGTGGTTCAGAAGGTACTTTCTGATCGACCTCAATTGCTCCCAGTTCAAGTTCAGCGATAGATTGAAATTCGGGTTCGAAGCCAGCCTCGGCCTCGAAAGCTGCAGCTGCCGCAAGGGCTCGGCGGGTTCGCGGGGCACGGAAACCTGGAGAGGTGTCCAGAGGACCAGGCTCGACGGTCTTGGGGGGGCGCTTCTTTTTGGGCACCTTGGACTTGGGAGGCGGCGGGGGAGATGGAGCTGGGGGAGGAGGCGGTGGAGGCTTAATGCGCGGAAGTTCGAAGTTGAATAGTGATGAGATGGGATCGGCATGGAGGAGAAGATTGATGTTATCTTGGATGTCTTGAGTTGACGTTAGGAGCTGGAGTGTCTCCATCAAAGGTTCTAGATCTCCTATGGATATCTGGGAGGAAACGGAGGAGTCAGAAGGATCAGGGGGAGTAAGGGGTGAGTGATTGTAGGCGAGGGAAGTGAGTTCCTGAAGGATGGGTTGACTGCTTATTTGCATTCTTTGTGCAGTCTTATAGAACGATGTACCAGGCTTGTTGTACAGGATTGCATTAGACAGTACTAACTCGATATCACTCTGCGAGATGTTAAACGGAAGCGTACGACCAGCCCGGATATGGCTCACCTTGAAACCCTCGAGGTCCCAGTACTCGTGACGGTCAAGCTTCGCATCAATCGCATCCCAAGTCATGGGCTTTTTCACGACATCATAGTAGTCGGGGACCTCCGTCCTTGACACCGGATGCTTGAAGAGACCGTGGCGATCAAGGCTGATGAAATATCAGAATGTTTCAATGCAAAGCCTTGGAGCACTGCGTACGCAAGGACTTTCTCAAACGCAAGCCGGAGTAGTGCCTCGTGAGGAAAGAGTGTAATCTCGAGCACTTTCTGATGCTCTCAGTCTGTGCAAGCTTCCGGCTCTCCCGTCTGCGAGTTTGTAGCGCCAATTCGCGAACAGACTCCAGATCTCTGCGCAAATGTTTCAAATGCTGCACGAACATCAGTTACTGCAGAAGAACAGAAAGGACAACAATGAACCTCTAGTTTCGCAGTCTTCTCTTCTTCCGTCTGTACTTTCCCTGCATTCGATGCTGTCCATGGTTCGAGATGCAGTCTCTTCAACAGTGGCGCCCCTCGCCTTGCCTCACGTTTCAAGCTCCAGTATTTACAGACCATGTATACAAATTCGGTTTTCTTGCGTACATTTACCTTGGTAATATAATTCAGGATGCGTTCAGCAATGATGTGTGGCACAAGCGGTGGGCCGGTCTTGTAAGTTTTGGCATATGCACGGGCAGATTTCGACAGCTTGGAACTGGGGCTAGTCATCTGGCCATCTTGTGCAAGAGCTTTGAGGCGAGCGTCTTGCTGCTCTTTCTGAAAAAAAAAAAGTAGAATGAGCTATTTCCATGTAAAGGAGACAACATTGCATACAGGAAGGTGCTTCTCACAATAGCATGCCAGCGTACCAGGCTCAGATCCCTGCGAGCTCTTCATTGGCATGAGAAACCTTTCCTTACGAGCGCAGGTTGTGTGGAAGGCCAGGAAGCATGAGTTCTTTGTGCATTGGATGCATGCACCCTCACGAATGCCACATATTGAACATTTCTGGATGGATGGTCAATGAACGAAAGGAGCATGAAGCAGAGGAATATACCAATTTCCAGCGTTGCTTCGGAATTTTATCAGATCCAGTAATAGGTTCCATGAATACCTCATTTGCCACCCGCGTCTCGGGTATCCAAATAGCACACAGAAGATGGGCCCAGTCACCGAATACTGTTTGTTTGAACGCTCCCCCTTCGTTGGGGCAAAGTATGCATGACTGAATGTCCGTTAGTGAAAGATGCATGCCCTGTCAACATCCTCCTTACCACTGGATTCTCCGGGGAGACGGTGCACTTGCGACATAACCACTGACCTTCAGGTATGTACGGGACTCCATAACAGTCTGTCGGTATATGAGTGAAATGATACGTTCAAAAGTTCGAGGGAAAATACCCTGATGAACAGCGAGGTTGCAACCGTCACAAAATACGATAGCATTGCTGTTTTCTCCCTCGGAATCGTCACAAATGGCGCAAGTCGAATCCTCAGAAGGCATAGCATAATCAGATTTGGGTATGCTCTTGGTCTGCATAGCGACAAAATGAGAGGAGCCTATACATGGTGCAGAGGGGCGTACCAAGTCGAAGTATTCTTTCTCCAGGCGATCCATGATAATTTCAAACGTCTCGTACGTGACCGCATTCAGTTGATCCCTCTTCCTTTCAACGTTCACTGCGTCGAGCCATTCCTGATCTGCTCTAATATGTTAAGAAAATGAAGGAGGGGCAAGAGAGTGCCCACCTTGGTCGTCCATGTCATATTCAACCTGAATAGCAAGATCTTTCTCGAGGGGCTCTATTTTGGGTCAAATAAATACACTCATTACACGTGAACATGCTCACCGATGTATCGAATGTAATGATCCGGTCTCAGGAATTCGGTGAAGTCGTTGTCTGCAAAGGAGTTAGCTTGAGTGGTTTGACAGAGCGTATACGCTGCACACATCCATAAGATCTGGCTTGTAGGTCGTGCACTCCAGCAGGTTGGTTGATATCATCATCCTGGACGATAACAAATGACACTTTAGGCAGTAGTACTTGAGCAGCAGGGGATTTGAAGCCACGGGCCATGGTGTGGCAAACGAGGAAAACAAAGTGAAGAGATTGGCGAGACTTCCGAACTACCGCTCAAAGTTTGCGTACCGGTTTCGAGTCGCTCACTAGGCAAGCTGAGGAGAAACAGCGAGAAACATATTCAAATGCTAATGACAGCCTTAACCCGCCTAAGGGACGCTAGCCACCGTAACCGTGACTTGACACATCATGTGACCTCCGTATAGCTAGTGACCTACTTCAAACTTCAAAGTTGTTCCCAGTTGGTACTATCTCAAATATCATTAGCGCTGGGCGATCCATCGATCAGTTCAGCTATCCTGCAATTTTCTGTCGCGTTCAATGTATCTCACTCAGGAAATTGAAGAGATAGAGTCTATGACAATCAGCCTTTCGCGCTTCCTATATGTCTCAAACGCGAGTGGATTCGATAAAACAGAATACACAACCTACTGGTCTGTAAAATGGTCTCAATAACTCACGCTTTTACCGATGATAGTCGAACACGTATGATTGGAAGGCTTCCGGCTGGAGGATTCCAAATCATGTGCACCTGCCATCCCCTGCAAGGTGAACTGGTAGGGACGTCATGTTTGTGACTTCAGAGTACTAACTTGAAGATGCTGCACAGGTATGTGCCAATGGGGGGCACCGAGTGCGGAGGTGCGGTATCTGGAATTGACTAGCAACTACGCATTATACGGTTATGTCAAGGGTCTTACGTGGTTTCTCAGTCCTCGCAATCTGATTTCCCCCTCGAAGGATTGACGATCTCGGTCGCAACTTCGCCTTCTCGTTCAAACTCAGCAGCAGGTCATTATCGGAGAGCACGCCTAGCAAGACTGATAGGTAGTTATTTATTTTTTCCATTCAAGCTTTCCAACAACGGATGAGCACTTACTAACGCTTTGCTTCTCAGTGCACATCTTTCAAGGCCGGTCGCCCCTCCCATGGCGATTAACTTGTGAGACTTCTACTTCGATACGTTCATTCATATCTTCTCTCGCATTTGCAGCGAGCGACTATTAACATCGCCGTTAATGCAGGGCTGACGAAGCATAGCATCTGAAATTCGGATGTAATTTCAGATGCGGTGCTAATTCAGTTTTGCATTTCACCTTATCCCTTTATCTTGCTCGGTATCTTTCTAATTAATTAGAATTGCCAGGTGAGCCTGACAGCGCTGTAATCACCGAAGATCTTGGACCTTCAAGGAAATATTGAAGCTTGGCGGAAGGTGATATGGAGCTTTAATGCCTCGGGAACTGATGACACATCCCATGGGGCAATACCCTTCAGCAAAAGCAAGTGCTACTTACTCCGACGTTCCAGAAAAAATCTGATCAGTCAAATAAGATAAGAACCTGTCTTCCACGGCATCGATCACCTCTTCTCAGGAAGCGTAGCTGCGGAAATGGACGTTCCAGCTGTGCTTCACAATCTCAGTTTCCATATTTCCGAAGTGGTCTTTCAAGACAGGTTAAGCTCTCAAGAACATAACATGGTTACGAAACTTTGTAGTGGAAGTTCGCTCCACAATGCACAACTTTACCGTGCTAAGCATTCGAAACATAAGCTTTGTTTATCAAAGTGGACCAGATCACATAGCAGTGTACCCTTCCTGAGACAGCGAGAGCGCAAAAATTTGTGACCTGCTACTATCATGCCGCAGTTGTGATCTTCTCGAGCTCCCGACTACTGAGCACTAGAATCATGATTCTATAGAGTAGATGTACAAGCTTGCCTAGAAAATGTGTTGTGAATGCAACACGAGCGAAAATTTGTACAATCTTTTGTGGGTATTCAATATACAGTGTCGGGATATCCATAACTGTTCAGTGGTCTGGACGTGCTGAGGCCTTTCACCAACCAAGCCAATTTTGCCCATGTGGCGAGGTTGTTGACACCATGTCATACAACTTACTGCCCGAACGCATATTGCGTCCTAAAGAAGATGCCCAGCATCTTGCGACATGATACATGACATCTGCCATTGACCTCCGAGGAGGGGGGTATTACGATGCCTTGAGACGATCGTTTGCGCAGAGCGTTTCAGAAAAAAGCTTGAAATCGGCCTTCGATGCACGCCCCGGCTGCATGTCGACCGATTAACCTGAATTGATCTTGGCTCAAAATTCTGTTACCTACCTTGAGGGCATAGATCACAACCTCGTCTTTCGGTTCCTTCCCCTCAACGGCGACCTGCTCCATCAGCACGACTCGGAGAATATTTTCCCCTGCATCATAATGGCATCGTACTGCGGACCGCAATGCTACATTCATTGACACCTGGCCCAGGGGGTCCCGTCTGAATACTGATACACCGCAATGTGATCAATGCCGACATTTTACAAGGAAGATGTACTTACACAAGCGTGTGCGTTCGTTCTGCGTCAGAACTTTGATATGCCCAAAATTACCATCCGTGAACTCTTTGCGTCCGCGCTTTATGAAGATTTTGACACCTTTGAGCTCGGAGGATACGGATTCGTCTTCTTCACCGGTTACAACTAGGGATACTATAGATTAATAAAGTGGCTAGGTCGTCGTAGGCGGTGACGCACGTGAAGATGCTTTTGGTGCCGTGGATGCCTGCGCACGGTCACCCAGAGCACCAGCCGAAGACGTCTCAGCAACTTCGTTTGGAGACGGTGAGAGCGCATTATCATTCGGACACGGCACTGGTACGTTGTCAATAGAACAGCCTGGGGTACGGGATTCGCCGCATCGCCAGGCAGGTGTGAATGTTGACGTAGATGACGGGAAGGGGGTGTTGGAATACTTAGTGAAAGGAGATTTGGTATTTGCAAAAGATGAGAATGCGGTGACATTCGGCTTAAGAGTGACTGGCTTGGGAGCTGGTGGCGGCGGCGGCGGCGGCGTAACGGGGCGAGGCTCGCTGGGCTCATTGGTCCTCAATGATTGAGACTGATTCTCGGGATGCTTAGGTTGTGACTCAACCTCCTCTGTCTGTAGTTCGGCTGACTGGACATTTTCGTTACCAGTGGTAGCCGGTGGAACGTGTGCTTCTGGAGCGGGCTGCAGATGATTAATTGAGTCACCTGGTGCACGATTAAATTGAATCTTAACTTTACCTCGTTAGCGCTTGGAGCGACTTCTTTGACTTGCGCGGTCCCGATTTGAACAGCTGTAGACACTTCTTCTCGAACAGCTGGTTCAGGATGGGGTGCCGCGTTCTGGGCCTCTTGATATGAAGGAGGTGGGATGACAACTTCCCACTCCTAGCAGAAGTTGCTCAACAAATGAAGACAATATCATCGTCTTCGATCAAAACTTACTTCCTCCTCGTGGTCGTTGGGAGGTGTTCTGCTCCTTTTGACAGGCCTCTCCTGCTCGCCCTCGGATTCGCCATCAGATTCATCGAGCTTACGCTTGAGAGACTTCTCCTCGCTGAGTCCGCGTTATGGATTACTACTACTTGGCTGGGTTGCGTGACTCACGGTTCGACATCGACGTGGCTTGGTTGCGCGTTCAGGGACGAGGCTCTGCGAGCACATGCGTAGCCGAAGGTGGCCGCAAAAGTCGCGATCCCACAGAACGCAAACTGGAATTCGGTAATGGGGAGCATCATTTGGTCGATCTGCGAATAAGGTGAAATGGATTAGGGTGCGAATATATCCGCAAGGCTGGACAACTGTGGTTATTGCTCAATATGTATTCAGTCGCCAGGACGTGAATACAGTGGCTTTGCTATTGAAGAGCTACAAGATGGAGAGAGCTGGAAGAAAAGTGCAGAATGCCGTTTCATCTGGAGTCGCTTATGAGGGCTGCATGCTGCGCCTCGAGGCTTCAGCACGCCTGCCCTAGATGGAAGGTTGATGAGACACGTGTTGAACTAGCACTGTTGTAGAAATCCATCAATACTTGCATGACGCGTTCTTATGGTGTTGTCACTGCCTTGTGACGCATTGAAACTGATTAGGGTAGCGGTTCGTTATCGAGGTGGAGGGTAGGTTCTGTGATACTGCATTACCAAGCTCCGCGGCTGGGCGGCGAGCGCAAAATGCCAGGACGTTTAACCCGGTGTGAACGCTGGATCCGGGCGCATTTTCCAGCGTGTTGCCCCAGCGTTTGATCCAGCAGGCATAATCTATTGTTAAGCCAGCCTGACTCAACGAGTATTCCGTATCTCCAGGTGAATGTCTGTATTATTCCTCCCACACTGGGTTCGCGGTACCGACCACTGCAGGCACCACTTCATTGCCAATAGATTTAGGGCCTAGATGCCAGCACCTCCCCTGCAGATGGATAACATGACGGGTGCCACGATGAATTTCCTGGACCGTAACGGCAATCATTGGAAAAGCAGTACTGAGAAGCCAGCTGCACTGACTTATATCCATGTTGGGTTTCTACCGAGGATACCCTGAGCTACTATAGGTAGCACATAAACCACAGGTCACTAGTAGCATATGAATGGCAGTGATGAGTAGGGATACTAGACAGTACTATGGCAGTGCTACTAGTAGTGCAGATGCGTGACCCTCCACGGAGGGGTCAAAGTCTACATTCATTGGACACGTCGACCTTCGGTTAACGTCAAGGTTTCGCATTTCCACTACAATTGGAGGGTTGCAGCTCACAAGTATTTCGGTCTCTTCATTCAACGACTGTCTACGACAGTCGACAATAATTACTAGCGGCCATGCCGGCTGCCTACCCACTCCCTTCTGATTTGTCTCCCGCAACTGTTACCAATACCGCGTCCCTACTCCGTATCATTGCACTTGCCCTCATATCAGGCGCTGCTATTGCCTCTCGTCTATTTGCTGTTATCAATTTTGAGAGTATTATTCATGAGTTGTACGTGCAACCGTATATGAACATGTGGCAACTGACGCAATGAATTCTTAACAGCGACCCATGGTTTAACTAGTACGTAGAGTAAATTTTGTGCGTCTATTCGTGTGCTCAGCACCTCCTTTACAGTCGAGCGACAAAGGTTCTCGCTTCGCAAGGTTTCTATGTGAGCACCACATTCAGGCTCTTCAACTAGCACTTCACAAGTCGCGTTTCCTAGGAATTTTGGAACTGGTTTGACCCAACGGCATGGTACCCCCTTGGACGTGTAGTCGGTGGAACCATCTATCCCGGTCTTATGGCAACCAGCGGTGTAATATACAACTTACTCCATGCACTTAATCTCCCGGTCGATATCCGCAACATTTGCGTCCTTCTAGCTCCAGGATTTAGCGCCTTAACCGCTTGGGCCACGTACATGTGCGCGCGCTCTGCACTCCATTATGCCAGTTAATATTTTATCGCTTGCCAGGTTTACGAAAGAATTGAAAGATGAAAGTGCTGGTCTTCTTGCAGCCGCGTTCATCGGTATCGTGCCGGGTTACATCTCGCGTTCTGTCGCCGGCTCGTATGACAATGAGGCTATCGCCATATTCTTGCTTATGTTTACCTTTTTCGCATGGATCAAGGCACTCAAGCAGGGAAGCGCATTTTGGGGCACTATTGCTGCTGTATTTTACTTCTACATGGTCGCTGCATGGGGTATGTCTTCATATGAATGATTTATTTCAAGTTTAGATTCTGATAATAGTGCACTAGGTGGATATGCATTTATCACAAATATGATTCCTCTGCATGCCCTCGTCTTATTGTTGATGGGTCGTTTCACGGGCCGGCTTTACGTTGCGTATTCATCCTGGTACGCGATCGGCACCTTGTCCAGTATGCAGGTCCCCTTCGTTGGCTTCCAGCCTGTTCGCACCAGCGAACACATGGCTGCGCTTGGTACGTTCTTTATTCCCGTTTCTTGCTTATATTTAACACCTTTACAGGTGTGTTCGGCCTATTGCAAATCGTTGCTTTCGCGCAACTTGTTCGCGCACATGTTTCTTCAAAGCAGTTCCAGGAGTTACTGTTCGCTGCGGTCATCTCTGTTGGCCTGATCGGCTTCTTTGGGATTGTTGGCCTTACTTACAAGGGCTGGATTGCCCCTTGGACTGGGCGATTCTACTCCCTGTGGGACACCGGCTACGCCAAGAAGTATGTGAAGATACCTGTGCACAACCCTCCTTTACTAACTAGACACTCAGGTACATCCCCATCATTGCTTCAGTATCGGAACACCAGCCTACCGCGTGGCCCTCGTTCTTTATGGACTTGCACTTCCTGATTTTCCTTTTCCCTGCGGGCGTCGTGATGTGTTTCCGCACACTGAGGGACGAGCACGTTTTCGTGATCATCTACGCAGTCGTCGCCAGCTACTTTGCAGGCGTGATGGTGCGTTTGATGCTTACCCTCACTCCGGTCGTCTGTGTGTCTGCCGCTGTAGCGCTCTCGTCTCTCATGGATGCGTACCTGGACCCTAGCGAACCGAATGTTGAAGACGACAAGAATGGGTCCTCAACTCCTCACTCCACTGGAACAACACCTTCCACGGCACTTGCTACCAGCAAGAAGACCAAAAAGAACAAGGAAAAGGAAGCGTCTGCACCCGCTGGCGGTGTCTTGGGCGAACTTGTCTCCAACGTTACCTCCTCTGCTGTAGCTGCCAAATCCGCCACTACTGCTGAAAGGGGCGTCTTCGGTATGGACACGCGCCTGATCGTTCTCCTGAACTCGCTCGGACTACTTCTGTTCTTCGTCGTGCACTGCACATGGGTGACTTCGAACGCATATTCCTCGCCATCCGTCGTGCTGAGCTCGACTTCCCCCGATGGAAGCAAGAACATCATTGATGATTTCAGAGAGGCGTATCACTGGCTGAGGCAGAACACGGCAGAGGATGCAGTTGTCATGAGTTGGTGGGATTATGGCTACCAGATTGCAGGAATGGCGGATCGCCCGACGTTGGTGGACAACAACACCTGGAACAATAGTGAGTTTCTCCAATGACGTAACAACCTTAATTGATACTGACTCGTGCAACAGCACACATTGCGACAGTGGGCAAAGCAATGTCGTCGCCAGAGGACATTGCGTACCCCATCCTGCGTAAACACGATGTCAGCTATGTGCTCATCATTTTTGGTGGGCTGATCGGATACAGTGGCGACGACATCAACAAGTTCCTCTGGATGGTACGCATCGCGCAGGGTGTCTGGCCCGATGAAATCCAAGAGCCAAATTACTTCAACCGTGGAGAGTACCGCGTGGACAGCGAAGCAGCCCCAGCGATGCGCGACAGTCTGATGTACAAGATGAGCTACTATCGCTTTGCGGAGCTGTTTGGTGGTCAGCAGCCCGTGGATCGTGTGCGGGGACAGCATGTGCCCATCCAAGGCCCAACTTTGGATTACCTCGAGGAAGCATATACATCTGAAAACTGGATCGTGCGTCTCGATGTGATTGGTTTGCAGTATTTGGCTGACTGTGTTTTAGGTCCGCATTTATGAAGTGAAGAAGGATGATGTGCTCGGGCGTGACTTGAAAATCGCGAATGCGTTCGATCAGGGGAAGAAACGCAAGCGGACAAAACCTATGTCGAGAAGGAAGTCTATCAGTGCTTGAGCGAGGGAATGATAATTGGGCAGATCAGATCCAGAAAAGCCTCAATCGAGGCCTCAGAGCGACGCGTTGACCTGATATAGAGATCGTATTTCTGCGCCTTGTAGTATTGTAGATCTTGTCTGGAGCTGCAACCTTCGTTCGCCCTCTTCGTCGTCCGTTGTGGTACATATACTGTCTCCGTCCGATATGCAACACACTTGTGCAAAGAATGGGATTATGTAAATCATGTGCGATTACCGAACTGCTCGAAACAACGGTGTTGGTGAGACTTGAGTTTATCAAAGTGTCCGTTTCTGAGTCACCGTTTTCCGCCTGGAAGGTGACGTTTACGTCCTCTCGATCTTGACCGTGCATGGCACAGTCTGCTCGGGCTCCTCCTTTGTCGAGGTATTGGATATCCGAGGGTCGATCCACTAGGCTACTCCAAATCCGTGACGACGGTCTCCAGTTCGTCCATGTCATTCAACCCCGGTCACTTGTCGGAGTGCTTTCTCATTGCATCGGACATCTCTTCGCTGTCCCTCGCAGCGACTGGGCTGCTGATCATCGAGATGTGTTAGGAGTCTGGACTGTGACAGATCGCTGGTACTTTTGCGCAGCTTTATTAACCCGGATATTATCATTGTTCGCGGCGGCCATCTCTGCTGGCCTGATTTCTTGCAGAAGCCTTGGACCATTGCTGACCAGATGCTAATATATACGCAGGCACATTCCTGTCAACATCAATGACCCCGAGCACCAGTCCTTGTTGCCCACCCCCTCCGATCTTCATAGACCTACTGGCCCTTTTTGATTTTCCTCTTCCCGGTGAGTGTGGGTTCTCCCCATTCATGGATACGTATCTGGAGCTGAATATGGAAGACAAGATCTAGAGCGAGTTAGTAGAGATTGGGTCAATGAGCCTCCACAGGAAAACCCGGGCCGGCAGCTCCAAGACTGAAGCTCAAGAGCCGCTGCCTTTGTTCACTCACTACTTCCTCGATTTGTACATACATAGATAGACATAATATCATTGCATACACTATCCGAGCAGCCAGTGCAGGTTTGATGGGATTGAGGAGTTATGTACAATGTGTAGGTGACAAAATTCCGAACGCCACGTCAGCGTCAAAGTTGTCTTGTTCCGACGCTGCACGTTATGGCATATTAATTAGCGATAACATTCACACTCTACTTCGACTCGATACACCCTCTGGCGGGCTCATCTGCTCGTTTAATTACTAGTATCGGCCTGTTTCGCAATGCTTCTATATCCTCTAGCTGCGCTTTTGGTGTCATTGCCCACAATAGTGTCTGCAGCCATATTTCCTCCTGATACCAAGGTCAAGATGTTGGACCCAAAAGGTTTTCGCAGGGCTATGAGGAGTAATGTAGGCGGCTTTGATTCTACCCTTACATTAAAACTGAATATTCTCATTCAACCAGAGAACGAGCGTGGTTGCGTTTGTCGCCCCATGGTGCGGGGTGGGTTCCAGAATTATGGGCTCGTTTCAAGTTCAACTGACCAACAAGCACATCAGCACTGTCAACGGATGGCTCCCGAGTACAGCAAGGCCGCTGAGAATATGAGTCCACTTATCCCGTTTTATGCAGTAGACTGCGATGCCGAGCTGAACAAGCGGTTGTGCGGAGAACAGGTGCGCATCGCATTACGCCTCGACGGAGTCGTTTCTGACACTCGTTCAGGGTGTTCAAGGGTTCCCAACACTCAAAGTCTTCCCTCGTGGTAGCCTGGCCCAGCCTGAGCCGTACGACTCCAACGAACGTACTTCTGGCAAGTTCATCCGCTGGGCCTCGCGCTCCGTGCCCAATAATGTAAAATCTCTTCCGCATATCTACGACATCCCGGCGTGGTTGGATAAGGTTTGGCTCTCACCTTGATATTCAGCCTCTTGGCCTCATGTGACTCGCGCATCCCCGACAGACGAGCGACCTCCCACGTGTCATTCTCTTGAATAAGGACAAGAAGTTTCCGCTGCTCTGGCAGGTCCTTGCGAATAACTACTGGAAGAAGATGGCGTTTGGCCACCATACAGACCCAGATGGCGCATTTGCGACGTCGTTGGGGTTCCCAGCGACTGTTGAGGGAAAAATATCAAAGGTCATTGTGTATCCACCAGGATCTAGCGTGCCGGTTTTGTATGAAGGTGCGTGTTTTGCGCATACGGCTTTAATTACTTGATAAACATGACTACTCAGGGACGACCAAGTATGAGCCGTTGACCAAGTTCTTTAGGTCTATATTGGATGGGTCAGCAGACTTCCTCCAAACATCACCAGAGCAATCTGTCAGGGATGAACTGTAATTTACTTGGATCAACTTAAAGCGATTGACATCTTCTACTCCAACGTGTTTGGAGTTACCCTTGGATGTGTCACCAATCTCACACGGTGTTCGTCAGAGGTCGACATTCTCGTATTCTGGCCAGTGTCTTAATGAGAGGGGAAGCCACGCACATGCTCACGGACAAAAAATTGTTTATGATTCGTGTTCTATGTTCTGCATAACCCCCATTTCCCGCAGATATGGATGAGCCCTCGTCTCATATTCTATTGAAGTTTGCATTCGAAGTTTGTATCCCAACACGCGTTCTTTATCAGTCCTGTGCCCCTGTGAAGTCTCCCAGGTCAATTCGTTAAACCGTCTTCCTGACGTATCTGTTCAGCCAACGCCCTTCGCTTTGCTTCTTCGGCGTTCCTCTTGATTCCTTTCTGTATCTCTCGGTCCCAGCTTGTCCCGAGCCATACCATACCATATTCAGATAGGCCTACTGTGAAGAGGCCGATGACTTGACCTGAATGAGGATGAGCAGTAGTCTCACAAGAGGCACGGGATGCCCACCGATCCAGAGGCCCTGCAGGCCAAGACCAGTCTTGAACGCGAGGGTGATTCCGATCGGTAATGCAAGAATGTAGTATGCAACAAGGTTAAACATGGCGCCAAGGTGTTGTTTGCCTGACAGCGTTGATAAGTGAATTTCCCATCTCACACCAAACGTTTGCTCACCTTGACCGCGAAGGACACCACCGCAGGAATTTGCCAGACCGTCGGCGATCTTACGGTATTCTTTCAATTTATAGATATCGCACATGAAATGTACTCACTTGAAATGAAGCGACTAAAGGCATTACTTTGCTGACAAGCCGGACGACGTCCTCGTCATCGCTGAAGATATAGCCAAATTTCTATCTGTCGTTTGGCACAAAGGTTCAATGCGAGACGATCGTTGACGTACATTTCTGGCTGCTAACATGATCATCATCACTATGAAGCCAACGATGACGCTAATAAAAGCAATAGCGTGGGCTGCGTTCCTTGCGCCGATGGCCGTTCGTGCCCCGATCAGGTTTCCGACGCGATTTGAGGCGACGACCCCTGGTGAAATGTCAGACGCATGAATCGTTTATCACACTGGACACTAACCGAATCCAAAAGGCAGCGTGCTTATGACTATAGATCTGGTTAATACATTACGAGATGCATCAGGGAAATCCATACTTTGGTCGGTGGTCATGATGACAGACTGCGCCGCCAGTGGAAGCTCTCCCAGCCGGCCGGCTGCAAGAGCTACTATTTCGAATGCAGCCCTGTTTACAGTAAGTGGGACGCCCGAGTTGGGGGCAGTCACAGCTCACCATTCTGTGCCTACCATTAAGATACCCGGGAGTGCCAACTTGAGGAACCCGATGCAGCTCTCGATGTTGAAGACAGCCTTGGGTTGAAAACCACCCCACGTAGCGTTTTGTTTATGCATGGAAGACATCGACGTCATCGCAATCAAGAGGAAAAATGCACACCAGTATGTGATGGAAAGCGCAACAGGGCAGCCAAGCATGCCCAATGAAGTATAATGGACCAGGAAAATGTTTAGGGCGATATTGATTGGCGATACGATGATCAGTACCCAAGTAGCGATCTTCATAATTCCTGCATATCCTGTAAGTCAACGGACGAATGCTCGGCATGCAACTGACCTTGACATTGTAGGTATTTCTTGAGGGACTCGAAAGCAATATATCCAGGCGCGCCGAACAACAAGATCCGCAGAATATTTTGCACGTCCTTGCAAAGACGAGGGGGCTCTTTGATAGCCAGCAGGACAGGCTCCATGAATACCCAGAGCACGCCGACGGGAATCAGAAGAATCCAAAGTAACACCACGCAACGCTGGAAATGCACAGACAGATCAGTGGAACGACTTCCTCCAGTAAACGCCTGAGAGCCTAGGGTATCGAGGGCTGATCCCCCTCCCAGCGCAATGCACCAGCCTACAGGACGTGGGATCATCCTTGCAAAAGAGAATCGACGGGACTACTCGCCAGTAACGTAGGCCAGCATCATCGAAAATGCCGCCGCAGAAAGTTCTTCTGGGCCCAGACGGCCTGTGATCACGATCGACACTGTCTGGATAGAATTCTGTAAAATGTAGGACAAAATGACTGATTGACATCGCTTGTTAGTACATGCTTCTTGAGGCTGACGAAGTCCATCCTACCAGGGATTGAATCGATGACAAGGGAGGCGACAAGGCGGGGCCCAATTGTTCGGTTCTCTCCTGCCACTTCGGGAAAGTTCTGAAGGGAATGGACATTCAGTTGCTGCTGTGTGCGCCGAGCGTTGGGGAGGAGGGGTGCCGTTTCATCCATGGATCCGGTAGGTGACATGATGCGAAACTGGGTGAATAGACGCTACCAATCTACAGTGTTTATAACGGATTCCGAGGCAGCGGACTATATAACGGAACCTCGGATTGTCCCATGCCGATTCCCTTCCGAAATCCTCTGAGACAACATGTATCCTTCTCAAAACGAGGCTTGCATCGTGTTTGATCCCATCTCCAGTGGAATATTTTTGTGAGCCGATTTTTCCGATTCATTTCCATTTCACTGTCTCTGATAAGATTCATAGATTGGGGTTGGGTCTTGCGTTTCTGCCTCATGGCGGAAAGCATCTTGCACCTGTGATGTTATCAAGACAGAACCACCATTTTTTGCGGTACTCGTGGCGTGATAGCGGGTCATGAGATACGATTTTTTTTCCCGCAAGAAAAGCTTTTTAGGCAGCCTAACGCTCATTGAAACTCATCAGGACCTACCCTCTAGAATTCTCCCCCGAGATGAAATCGCAAACTGTTACTCTGTTCGCTTTGGTGTTCGCTGCCGTTGGCCTCGCACACGACCATCACCACGAAGACCAAATTCCTCTGAATTATGTCAAATATCCCTACCAAGCCATGTATCCAGGAGACGATGAAGGTATACAATAAAATATCCCCCTTTTAACTGCCGCTCACCGGCAATGCAGTGACTGCGGACTCCATTTTTTCTGGAATTACCACATTTGCGAAGCTACCTTGGGTACAATGTCTTGGCAAGGACCGAGATACTACCTTTGACATCGCATTTATCGGTGCCCCTTTTGTACGTCATCACATCTCTGTTTATTTAAAAGGTTTATTCGAGTGTTCTGCACAGGATACAGGGACATCCTACCGCCCTGGTGCCCGGTTCGGGCCTGCTGGTATTCGTACCGGATCCCGTCGGTTGACCTTGTATGGAGGATACAACGTTCCCCTTGAGGTCAACCCATTCCTTTCTGGACTCAAAATTGTAGATTGCGGTGACATCCCAGTCACGCCCTACGACAACAAGTACGCCATCCAGCAAATCGAAGGCGGGCACAAGGAGCTCCTTCACCGACCTGCCTTTTCCCCACTTGGCAAGGACGCTCTCACCGGCAAGCCCCTCGTTCCAATTTCGGTCGACGGAAAGAATCATCCACGTATAGTCACACTTGGTGGTGACCACACGATCGTTCTGCCTTTGCTTAGGTTCGTTTTGTTTTTAATGCGTAATTTGCAACCAGTGCTCAATATTACGCACCCAGGTCCATTCACTCTGCATATGGCCCAATTTCTGTCATCCACTTTGATTCCCACTTAGATACCTGGAAACCTTCAGTGTTTGGAGGCGCCCCTTCCGATCAGGCCGCTATTAATCACGGCACATATTTTTACTGGGCTAGTCAGGAGGGTCTGATTAAGAACGGAAGCTCTATTGCAAGTATCTTATTTCCTTACCTTCCAATACCCATTTCTATCACCGAATTCTTTGATCCTAGTTTATCATTGAATATCTAGCATGGCGCTATCCGGACCACACTATCAGGACCAGCCGATTATGCTAATGACGACGCCTCTGGCTTCCAACGAATCGAAGCCCGTGAGATCGATACCATAGGTGAAACAAGGCCGACCATTGGTTATCGATCATTATCTGAACATCTCATAGGCACCGACGGAATTATCGAAAAGATTCGGAAGACTGTCGGCGATCGACCCGTTTATTTGTCCATTGATGTGTGTTGGCATTTCATCTCGCTGATGAGTGGTCAATCAACTTATTACAGATTGATTCAATCGATCCCGCATTCGCTCCTGCGACGGGCACCCCGGAAACTGGCGGTGAGTTCGTACATCATTATTTAGACGATAATCTCAGTTATTGGAAGGCTGGTCTACACGCGAGTTACGTACTATCCTCAGAGGCCTGGATGGTCTCCACATTGTCTCGGCCGATATTGTTGAAGTTGCTCCTGCATATGATACCAATGCAGAGCTTACGACCATGGCCGCAGCCGACGTACGTCATGTATATCAAATTCCGAACCGTTTTTAACCCTAGCTTCACAGGTACTTTTCGAGGTCATCAGTGTCATGGCCAAAACCCCCTTGGGTAAAGTCGCGAATTAAGAAGACCAATCTTACCTCAGATCAAGTTAGCTGTTTTCCTCAGATAAATTTCTACTCAATTCCTGTTTCATTTGAGATCCCATCTATGCATTATTAGTTTAGTCCTGTATCAAATGCCGTTGGTCGTAGAGTAATCACTATTTGCGTTCGAACCGCACTGTACGACATCATTGGATAGGGATTTCAGATATCCGATCACAGCCTTCATGTAACACATCGAGCACATGGTACTCGCGCCATTGAGCAATTGTAAATATCGTGGTTTTCGAAGATCAGCGGTTCTCTATCCCGAAAAGGAAGGTCATAAAGATCAGCGCGGTTGTGAAAATCAACTTTAACGCAGACCCTGATAGAAGGAAGACAGGCGTTCCTCTAGGCTCAATCAGTATACACAACATACAGTTGGTCTCGTTATATTCTACAAGAATCCGGATCCTGCGTATATTACAATAACCACGTTCGTTTACGTCGTATGCTAACGTACTCGATCTAGAATAGAATCTTGGCACCACTGGATGACACTCCAGCTGCAGGGCACCCCTCACCGTTATTTCGCCATGCTTTCATGTGCTTCATGTGTCATGATGGATGCGAAGCAGGCGGTCGATACGTGTTGCATTACATACTGACCGCGGGCTTAAAACGTCACCTTAGCTTTTTGTGTACTTAGGCCGCCGTCCCTAGGGGGCTGCCGGGCCCGAAATACGTGACTCGGACATGATTCAAGCAAAAATGGAGTGTAAAATTTGCATCGTGCACGTGTCGCACATGTGATACCTCAGTTTTGAGCAGAAGGATAACAGCTCTGAATCTTGGTAACCAGTGTGCATGTGTATATCGGATAACAAGTCAGAGCGCATCGGTGGCCCGTTCACCGGACGCCGGTAAGTAACCTTATATTCTTGATTTGAGACAGAATAGATGCACTATACATATTTGTCAAATTTAAATAGGATATATGCACAGGTATTGCTTCTCTATTTCGACTGAGTAGGTGCAGAACGATTGCACCTACGTCACCAACATCTACGGATGCGCTTTGACAACAATGGACCAAATGTCACCTTTCAAAGCTCTTTCCCCTCTAAAGACGATATGGAATCATCAATATTCTTGATCGGGCCATGGAACCACTTGTGCGCTGAAACGACCCAAGAGATAGATGCAAAGACAAAAACGCCCATGATAATCACAACAGCATAGTCTGTACCATCCTGTCAGCAACCGAATCAAGTCCTTCAGAATCGGTCGATATACGTACTCATCCCCGCTGGGGTGGCTGTTTGTGATGGGGGGAAGAATAATAATACAACAATGAATGTTACCCATGCAACTGCTATGATCCCAATAGGCATATACCACCTTCCCAGGCTGAAGGAGCCAGGGACTAGCTTATCACGGCCCGATGTGATACGAAGGAAGATAGGTGTTGCATAAGACACGTACAAGCCGATGACGGAGGCTCTGGAACGTGGATAATTCCTGAGGATATAGACTTTGCAAAGTGAGGTCCAACGTACCCTGCAAGGGATGAAAGTGCAGCAGCGGAGAAGCCTAACAAGCCACAGACGGCGGCACTAGCCATTACCAACCAGACAGCATTTACAGGAGTTTGTGTGTGCCGGTTGATCCGCTTCCACCAACGAGAGCCAGGAAGAGCATTATCTCTCGCAAAAGCGAAGACGACACGAGATGCGTCAACTCCTTGTGCAGCTCCCGTCACGAACTGATCATCCGATTATTCACGCAAACAGATAATGATAAATATTCACCGTACCTGGACGACAATGATAAAACTCCATATTGCCAGCATCCCTCTTTTTCCAAGTACATCCAGAAAGAGCTGACCCATGGGAAGTGGTAAGGCACCTGTCAATAAGTTGGATACTGAAGCCGTTGCGAAGGAGCACGCGATGGAGAGAAGCCAGCCCAGTACTTGCGTCCCGAATACACCCACGAGGATTGCAATGGGTGCTGTACGCTGAGCACCGGCTACCTCTTCAGAGATGTGCGCAGCGGAGTCATCTGGAATTCTCTGAAGTTAATAGTACATCCGCAGATGACATCCGCCTACTCACAGCCCGTGAGCGTCCACATCGGAGCTGTGAAAGCAAGAAGGAAAGCCCATCCATCTGTACACGCGGTTGGTCCATACCCTCAGATTATGGGCCAGTACTCACTATTGCTCCATCCTGTGTTGTTCTCGAACATAGTGAAGGCATCTTTGGTGGATACTTTATTGTCGCCAGAACAGACGAGTAGAGCAATGATGGCGGCTATAGTGGTACCAACTGTTGAAAGAAAATGGGATCCGGAAGTTCATCTACACCTTGTAAACCAATACTTGCCGTTGACAATCACATAAAACAGATTTAAGCGGGCCAATACGTTCGTAGCAGCAGAGCACACCAGGCCATGGGTGAATAGAATGGCAAGTAAGATGCCGTATGTAGCACCAGAGCTCACTATCGTTGCTCCATCAGAGCTCACTGCAATCGCGGTAGCGATCATCTGTGCACTACACAAAGTAAGTCACAGGAAGTGTAATACTGCTTAACGAACCATGTAAAGTCAATGGAACACACGAGAGTAACTTGGCCCGTGATATTGGCCCATCCTGGAAACCCCATGATGAAATGAGAGTTTATTGTATAAAATGTTTTTCCAACCTGTGATCCAGCTCGCTAATGCAGAGTATTTCGGAGGTGCGAGTTTAGCGGAAAAGTAATAGAGGCCAGCAGAAGTCCTAGGCGAAAACGGGCATATGAGGTCCCAACTCACGGTATTGTGGAAGATACTTACGGCATTGATGATACCAGCTCCGCCATTGAAGATGCCACCGTCATGACAAAGAAACAGGGGATCAGCCATCCCCAGACCATTCCAACGTGACCACCTACGGACCTCGGCATCATTCGTAGTTGCCATTGAAGAGTAGGCACACACCTGAGACCAATAGAAATGAGAATGTCGATGTTACAGAAGCCACCACACCCATAATTGAGAAGGCAAAAGCAATTGTCTCGATCATCTGGCCAGAATTATTTTGGCTTCCATACGGGCGGTTGTTAAGGAGGGACTGACCGAGAACTCGCGTTTGAACTCGGCTTTGTAGCCAAGTTCAGCGAGTAGCTTATCGTCTGCATTGCGTGGTGGAGTGGGGTAGCCCTTGATGCTAGAAGTGTTGACGCTGACTTCCGCCTGCTTCTCGCTGATCGACATTTTGTCAATCAAGCTCGGACGCGATGACAACAGGACACTGGGTTCTTACTCTTCTTTAACGGCAAATATATCAGTCGAGTTAGAGATAAGAGCCGGATGGGCGCCTGATATAAGTTACTAGGGTCATGTCGACTGTCGAGCCTCCCGCCGGAAGGATATACGTCACGGTAAAAATATCACTTATCTCTTGACAAATTGTGACGTGTTGCCTGCATGCTTGACAATGTGGAGTTCGGATAACAAAAGGCACATGCTCAATGGGGTACTTATGCCATAAATGATCGTAACGGCCGCGGCGCTTGCGCGATTGATTTTGCTTTGCCTCGCGCGATGTTGTTCAAGATATGGATGAAGAGAGGGTGGCGGAGGGGGTAGGAGGAGGGGGTGTGTCCTATTATACCCGACTAGGGCGCCGAATTCAACGAGATAAGTTACGCACCAACTTGTCATCTCGAACGCGAACTTGCCCGCATTATACCTTTATGTTATCCCCAACACAGCCCATATATGATAGGCACCGCGTCTTGACAGTTTCCTTTTTGTATCCGACAGAACCCTCCTCCTAATAACGTTGAGTGTCGGGGATTCCTGCAGCACAGGTTCGTGTTCGAAAGACCGCCACGTTGAAATGTCCTTGAGTTACATAAATTAATAAATAGAAATCAAACACTCCGAGAGCTACTAAATGTGGACATGTTTTACACCGCCACCACCGCTGGCACCAATCATCCAACTCCGAAAGTTTGTAGATGTTCAACTGCAACTGCAACAGTAATCATTACCACTGCATTACATTCGTACTTGCTTCAATTCCCTTGGAATTCGCGAACAGATTTATAGGTTTGGTCAAACATCTGCAAAATGTGCACTGTCAATTGCAGCAGAACGATGCGAATTCTCGAGTTCAGCTGAGAGTCATGCTCTAGAGTAAATCCATCGCCGCGTCGTTGTCTGCTAGGCTTATCTGAGATCGTTTGAGTGAACATTCGCTGCCGCCTCCTGTTGCCGGTCCTTGGCAAGGGTCATGGGACTGTACCGTATGTTCCCTCGTATATATATATTGCTGCATCGACATTCTCACCATGACTAGGACTTAAGGATTCCCCATCAACACTGTCTGAATCTCCTTGCGAGCCACGAGTACCTAATGCCTAGAAAAGTTCTCATTGGTTTTGGCGTAGATGTTGATGCTGTGGCTGGTTGGTATGTCGTTTTCCGTTTGATCATGAAAAGAATCAGCACTGAGGACTATTTTGTAGGCTTGGGTCCTATGGGGGAGAAGATTCTCCGTTGGATATTTCCCGAGTATGGTCACGGTAACTTTATATGATTGAGAGCTCAAGTCAGGCAGGGAATGTATGCGGGAGAAGTTGGAGTGCCTCGTCTTCTGAAGCTATTTGATAAGTATAAGATCACAACAACCTGGTTTATCCCTGGTCGGTCCCAAGTTCAATGCTCTCAAGATATGTGTAATTGATTGATCGCATATATAGGGCATAGCTTGGAGACATTTCCGGAGCAAATGGAAGCAGTTCGAGATGCCGGTCATGAAATGTAAGCTTCCTTGGATGAGACCCTTATGTTTCTCATGTCATGCGCAGAGGTCTCCATGGATACTCCCATGAGGTAAGTGACCACGACATCGATATCAAACATGTAACTGAATGTTTCCAAAGAACCCTGTCTCTATGACCCTGGAACAACAGCGAGACATTTTGGACTACACCTACAAGCTTCTTACTGATTTCAATCATGGCATTCCCCCAAAGGGCAGCGTCGCCCCTTGGTGGGAAACCAGTAAGGAGGGGACGGCACTGTTGTTAGACAAGGGCATTGAATATGGTCACAATACATTGCTACTCATTACAAGCAAGGTATTGACATCATTTTAACAGATCACTCCAACATGTCCCACGAGTAAGGCGGTATACCAGTCCTGCCAGTGATCGCTCATAGTAATGGTCGCATTCTTACAGTTCGCAGATGTATTATCTTCGTGATGAAGATACGTGGACGAAGATCGACTACCAGGCGCAAGCTCACACGTGGATGAAGCCGCTGCAAAGAGGCAAGGAGACGGGACTCGTCGAAATTCCTGCTAACTGGTCCGTCGATTGTATCACTGGTGTCTTCCACCTCATGCATCTTACACATTTGGAAAGGTACCTTGATGATCTTCCCCCAATGATGTCAGATCCTGCGACTTGTGTACAAGTTCAACATACTGACATTAATCTAGGTTCATTAAGTCAAGCTCAAACTCGCATGGTTGGGTGTGTCATCACGTTTGAAGCACTTCTGAGATGTTTCATTCACGTATCCAACAGGTTAATACTCGAGATGTCGAGCAGCTTTGGAAAGACACTTTCACTTACCTGTATAGGTAATGATACCAATTTTGTTGCAATCTACTGTCTAATCACATCACTCAGAGAAGAGGAAGATTTCGTGTTCCCTCTCACGATCCACCCAGATGTCAGCGGGTCAGTCTCCCCTCTTTGATACTTGAGCGTCTCTGAGTTTCTTGGTGCAGTCGTCCACACGTGCTTCTTATGCTGGTATGTTCCATCTATCACGCTCCTTGCTCTCTGAATAACTGGCGATACTTAGGAGCGTTTTATTGAATGGGTCAATACCCACGATAACGTACACTGGGTAACCTTACACGGGATGGCTCAAGATTTTAGAGCCAGAAAAGAACCAGCATCAGGCGCCGTAATGCCTAAAGGCTTCACACAGCGTCTGTGAAATGCTGTACATAGTGTTGTCGAAGACTTCTTCACGTGGATGAATATTGAATAACGTGTACCAGTGTTCTATCAACTTGGTTCGATAACCTACACGTGTAGAAAGCCCCAGGAGATTAAGTCATGGATTGCGCCAAGAGCGAGCCGCAATAGGCCGCAATACAACCCATAGTCATGGGGTCACATAACAGAAGATCTCTTCCGCGATCCTTGTCTTTCTAAAGATATATAAGGAGTCTTTTCTCGTCACTTTTTTGCCAGAAGTACTAATCTAACAAGATGCCCCGCGAGATCCTCATAGGATTTGGTGTTGATGTAGATGCTGTGGCTGGATGGTAAGTTTTATTCTTTGTGAGCTCCGAAATGACTGTTCTATGCGACCATTTTAGGATAGGCTCGTACGGTGGCGAGGACTCGCCCTTGGACATATCTCGCGTATGATTAAATTACTTTCGACATGTAAGACTTTTTCCATGATCTTTTAGGGCATGTATGCGGGCGAAGTTGGCGTTTGGCGAGTATTGAAGTTACTTGATAAATACAACATCAAAGCTACATGGTTCATCCCAGGTGAGTTCGAGTTTTGTTACCAGGGTTTTATATACACCATTGATGTGCAGGTCATAGCTTGGAAACGTTCCCGAACGAGATGGCAGCTGTCAGGGACGCAGGTCATGAAATGTTAGCCCTGTGTCTGTATCACGATGACCATTAATTGATAGCTATCTAGCGGACTCCACGGTTATTCGCATGAGGTGCTTTCGCATACTTAACCCAACTGAACTCGGATGGCTCAACCAATTTTACACAGAATCCAGATTCATTGACGCCAGAGCAACAACGTGACATTCTTGATTACACTTATAAATTGCTCACAGACTTCAACCATGGTGTGCCTCCAAAGGGCAATGTGGCACCGTGGTGGCAAACAAGCAAGGAAGGCGTTAACCTCCTTCTAGAGAAAGGGATCGAGTACGGTATGCCTACAGGTCGTGACATAATGCTGGGTTGTTCTTATACTTTCATGTAGATCATTCGAACATGTCTCGCGAGTGAGAATCTAGGATATGCATACCCCGCTTGGATATTGACTACCGTGTTTGCAGCTCTCAGGCGCACTACCTTCGTGACCAAGATACGTGGACCAAAATCGACTACAAGTCGAAGGCGAACGCGTGGATGAAGCCGCTTAAGAGGGGAAAAGAAACAGGTCTCGTTGAAATACCTGCTAGCTGGTAACATTGTCCCCCCCTTCCGGAGTGATCAATCATAACTCAATTTTCCATCAAAGGTACCTCGAAGACATGACACCAATGATGTGCGCTTTATGCTTCACATGGAAAAGCGTGCTTCATTAACGCAAAACCTAGGTTCATGAAGGCTAGCAGCAATTCTCATGGATGGGCAAGCAAAACATGGTACAATTCCTCAAACTGTTTACTGACTTGACTACGCTCAGGTCACCCCTCAAGCCATCGAGCAGCTTTGGAAAGATACCTTCACGTATCTTTACAGGGAAGAACAAGATTTCATTTTCCCGCTATCTATCCATCCGGATGTCAGCGGGTAAGCCTCATACATTGCTTTCGGGTTTAAAATGATTGATTTATTCGATTTAGACGTCCGCAGGTATTACTCATGCTAGTGAGTAGCTCTAATGATCTGCAAGCGTCCCTAGGTGACCCGCATTCCTGCGTTTAGGAACGGTTCATCGAATGGATCAATGCTCATGACAACGTGAAGTGGGTTACGTTCCATGAAATGGCAGAGAGGTTTAGAGCGAAGAATGATCCTCCTCCGGGTGCTGTGATGCCAAAAGGATATGTGAAATGTAAAGCACGGCTGTAGTAGAATGGACTCTAAAGCGCCAGGTGGTCGAAAATCACACATAAAGTGATACCTCTGAGCGCTTGTCGCTAGTGACTAGTTGATGGATGATAAGCAACGGTTTAGCAAGTAGAGGTCGATAGGAGGTTCGCCAAAATGGGCTGATAATATATTGTCACAAGAGGCGTTCCGAACATCCCGCTTTACTCATCCGTCCATGTAGCCTGAATATATAGCTCCCACCTCGTGATCGATAATACCTAGGTTTCGGTGGCACATGCACGTCCATATCATGGATCCTATAAGAACTCAAGATTGCCCACCCCGGCCCTACTGCCAAATTCAACTGGAGTATCTCAAGTCGTCTTATCACTTACACCCCAAGCAGACATGTCTGTCCCACGTATCCCACACATCCCTGATGAGCTGCAGAAGGGTGTCAGTGTTGTCGTTGAGACGAAGTTCGGTCCCGTCAAGGGTGGCAGAACTACAAACGGTGCTTCAGTGTTCTTAGGTGAGGTTTTCTACCAGATCCTTTGCACTCACATGCTGAACCAAGTACCTAGAGGTGCCCTATGCGTTGCCACCTGTTCGCTTTCAGGACCCAAAGCCTCTACCTCCTGACTATCGATACGAAGACAAGGATTACATTTATGAGACTAAGCGTATGTCAAATATTTACACTCTTGTAAATCATTGCCATAAGACGGAATTGCCTTAGACTGCGTTCAGCCCTCGAATGATGGACAGGGTGCAGGCACAGCACCAGTGGATCGTAAGGGCTACGGAGAGCCATCAGAAGACCCGTAAGCGATTCAGGATATCGTTTCCCGCTCTAAATCTAATACTTTCATTCTTCAGCCTGTTTGTCAATATTGCGTGTCATTCATCATCGAAACCTGGAGCGAATCTGCCAGTCAAAGTATACATTCACGGAGGGTAAGTTGTGCATAGACCTATAACTCTCGGTGACCCATTGTCACAGATTTCTTCAGTTTGGTTCACCCCATGGCTTGAGCTCCCAGTCCCAATACGTGGCCGAGTTAAGGAAGGAAATTCATGTCAACATCGGCTATAGGCTCTCAGTGCTTGGTTTTCTTGCGTGCGACGAGCCCAAGATAGACGGAAACTTTGGCTTCAAAGATCAATGGTTAGCGCTTCAGTGGATTTCGGAGAATATTGCATCATTTGGAGGTAAGCTTGAACGCACGTCATGCCTAGATTTCGTCGATATCCTGACAACATGTGCAGGTGACCCGAGTAATATCCAACTTTCTGGGCTGTCTGCTGGTGAGTGAAGATTTTCCTTTGAACTCACAGCATCGCCAACGAGCAACAGGTGCCCATGCCGTACACCAAATCTTGCACCACCTTTCGCACCTGCCCCCAGGGCAGAACTCTCCGTTCCGTTCTGCTCATTTGCAATCAAACGCAATCATGTGAGTTACTTTTATCACTTACTGTTAACTTACTCATTGCCCGCAGGACTATCCCTAAAACCCCGTTGGAACTGAGGCAGTCCTTCCAAGCCCTTTGCCGCACCCTCGGTCTCGATCCTAATGCCCCCGATGTTTTGGAGACTCTGAGAGACCCTGCCAAAGTTCCTATCAAAGCCATGATGAAGGTAATAGAGACAGATGAAGTTGGTGTCGAGCACGGCACGTACCGAGGATGTCTTGATGGCAATTGGATCCCTACTACACCCGATCCAATGACTTGGCAACGGTCGGGAGGCCTTGCTCGTGCTCTGCGCGAGAAAGGAGTCAAGACCATTTCTATTGGCGATCTGAGCGAGGAGTGGTACCTTTACGCGATCGCGCACCCGGTTAAAGGTCCACAGGATGTGTACCCTAACGTCTTGCGGTACTTCCCACGTCCCGTCGTTGAGAAGCTTGTGAACATGTACCGGACGCTCCCGAGTACAGCAACTGTTGAAGAATCGATGAGGCACATGGGAGATATTCTAAGTGATGGACAGGTGCACATCCCCGTGAGGATGTTTGCAAGAGATTTCCAACAAGCGGGGTTCCCAATTCTCAGATATGCGATCCGCTGGACTCCAGAACAACTGCGTCCAAAAGGTACATCAGCATCTATAGTGTGAGATTATTACTGAAGCTCGTGCAACAGGGTTGGTCACGCATGGAACTGACCGCTGCTTCTGGGCTCTCCGTATTCCGAGCATGAATTATCCACAGACGAAGAAGGCAATTGAATGGCTTGATGCATTCGACAAGGAGATCGCCGCCCTCGAGCAACAGGGCAAGCCAATTCATAAGCTTGACGAAGCTCTGACCCTGCAGGAAGACCAAAGCATCGTGTGGGCAGAAGACAAGAGATGGGCCGAGTTAATGAACATTGCAAAGATATTGCCTGGTGAATCCTAAACATTGTTCAATTCTCGCACTCATGTAATCTAAGAATGATGATGGTGACCTCCGAGTGAAAATCGATGTATAATACGTTCTACATCTTGAATCGATTTTATATATAAAAAAGAAATAAAATGCAAGTTTATTGTCCTTCCTCATAGACCCCTTTCGCAATATTTAGTTGGAGATCGCAAGTCATTGTGATGGCCTTTGCGACGTAGGTGTCACAAGGACAAGTTGATAGAACATACTAATACAAATCACTAGTTAAACATTCAATGGCGCTTGAAGAAGTCTCAACACAAATGCAATGTATAGGATGCACTGCATTGTACAGACAAGCTTAGGCTTTCTTGAAGCCCTTAGGCATGACAGCACCTGGTGCTGGGTCATTTGTGGCTCTGAAAACTTGAGTCATTTCATAGAAGGTCAGCCACTGGATGTCATCGTGAGTATTGATCCATTCAATGAATCTCTCCTATGACCACCAATGAGTTGGAGAACAAGGAGGACGTCGGGTGAAATATACCAGCATCAAAAGTACGTGTGGACGACTGTATCACAGATCGAGGTCAGAACGCTCAAATGGTAAGAAGTGGAGACTGACCCGCTAACGTCCGGGTGGATGCTGATGGGAAATACAAAATCCTCCTCTTCTCTGTTTGCTTTTAATCAACAAGGGGCTGAAACCCAGCAATCTTATCCTTACCTATACAGGTAAGTGAATGTATCTTTCCAAAGCTGCTCGACAGCTTGAGTGCTGACCTGATGGATGTGTGAATAGACGCGAAAAGGTTTTTAGACATGTTGGCATACCCAACCATGCGAGTTTGGACTTGATTTAATGAACCTTGACTGGTGTCAGCATGTTGCTTTTGTGCATGACTTGCGTCTTACATCATGGGGGGAAGATCGTCAAGGTACCTTACCACACATATAATCAGCGGGGGAAATACTGGTGATGTATTTGACAGACCAGTTACCCGGAATCTCGACGAGCCCAGTTTCCTTACCCTTTTGCAGCGGCTTCATCCACGTGTGAGCTTTCGCCTGATAATCGATTTTTGTCCATGTATCTTCGTCACGAAGATAATACATCTGCGAACTGGAAGAATGTAGGTCTGAGTATTTCACGACTGGTATACCGACTCACTCGTGGCACATATTGGAGTGGTCTGTTCAAAAGGTGTCAATACCTCGCTTGAGATGAGTAGTGATATACGGTGACCATATTCAATGCCCTTTTCTAGTAACAGTGCTGTCCCCTCCTTGCTGGTCTCCCACCAAGGAGCGACGCTGCCCTTCGGAGGAACACCATGATTGAAATCTGTCAGAAGCTTAAAAGTATGGTCCAAGATGTCGGATTGTTGTTCCAGAGTCATAGTGACAGGGTTCTTTGAAAATATTCAGTTGTTTGCCCAATATTGATATCATCACCACTTACCTCATGGGAGTATCCATGAAGCCCTCTGCGCGTGACATGAGCAAGATAAGGATCTCATTCAAGGAAGCTTACATCTCATGACCGGCATCCCGAACTGCTTCCATTTGCTTCGGAAATGTCTCCAAGCTATGACCTACATATGCTACCCGTCAGTTCCTCGCGTCTTTGGAGCATTGAACTTGAGACAGACCGGGAATGAACCAAGTTGTTTTGATCTTATACTTATCAAACAGCTTCAGAAGGCGGGGTACCCCAACTTCTCCCGCATACATTCCCTGCACTGATTTAAGCTCATAATCATATAACATCAATGCGAACATACTCGAGAGATATCCAATGGTGAATCTTCTCCTCCATAGGATCCAAGCCTGCATCATAATTTCCATTGCTAACCCTTATCATCTACGAATGAAAAACAACGTACCAACCAGCCACAGCGTCAACATCTACGCCGAATCCAACGAGAATTTTTCTAGTCATAAGTGTGCGTTATCGCTACGAGGTCAGACAGTATCGACAGGGGAGTCCTTAAGTCCGAATCATGGTGAGAACCGCAACGCAGCGCTATATATATGAAGAACGTACAACTCGAAGGAGTCCCGTGTCAAACCACATGACCCTAGGCTATTGTTGCCGGGGAAAGGCAACGGAACGTCACGGTATGGCGGAAGGCTGGTTCCAGGCTTGCAGGCATTTTAAGATAAGCCTTTCCAGACCTCGATACAGCGATGGGTGCCTCCACTTTACTCGGGAGTACTTGTGCCATGTTAGAAGGCAGCCCGATGTCAAACAGACCAAATAGAAGGAAGACAATTGTTGGATCTTCCGAGTCTAATCTTTGTGATGATCTCTACTGATGATCGCCAAGGTTAGACTTGCAAGCTCGCCTGAAACCTCGCATAGATCCAGAAACATCATGGTCACATCATGTAAAAGATTGAAACACCACTGCGATTGAGGTAATCGATTTCTGCCATAGCTTGAAGCTTGAGTCGCGGGTGTTCTTTGCAAAGAACTTCCGATGAGGTCAAATTTGAATTTGTTTGACATGTCCATATTTGGAAACTCTAGTTGTTTGGGCTGACTGGCATGCATTAGTTTTTACTACCATGGACAATTTGTAAAGTCGAGTGGTGACTCTACTGATATTATGTAAATCGACGTGGGGTGGGATCGGCACCTGAACCTTATAACAAGAAAAATGTGTCCCAGACCCCTACCTAAGTAACTAAACTTCAAATACTTAGCCTATAGCTCGATACCGCGCGGACCGCTTCGGTGTGAGTTAAAAATAGGATCCATGTCAATCATTCGAACTTCGTGGCGGCTTCAGTACGTTTCTCCTCAACACGCTTTTTGAGGTCTTTCCATATGTGAACTCCGAACAACACACTACAGCCCACATAAGCAGCCTGAACGTAAAGTTAAAGCGCAAGACTCGAAGACTCGTGAAACAAACTCACCGTCACTACAGAGCCTTTTACGAAACGCCTACAAAGCGACAAGGTATACAGCCCTTCAGCGCTGTGAATAACACCGAGTATCGTAGCAAGAGTTCGAACAGAAAACCCGAAACCGGTGAAGCCTCCAAACGCGTGTGCCGGGGAGAAGAACGCATCCACGTTGGTGGCGGGGATAGAGAAGAATGTTGTGCCAGGGGGTGGGGGTGCAAGAAGATAAAAGTATGCAAGAAAAATGAATGGTGTCATGATAGCTTTGGGGGGAAATCGGAATGTGGTCAATTGGGGAACTTTGAGCTAAAAGTAGATGAATCAGATACAAGACACATTGAAAGCAATATTGCTTGCAGACACGTACCATACCAAGACCTTTAAGCGCCTCTGTCTTCATACTCAAAAGGCGGGGTTTGGCATCATCATATTTTGAAAGCGGTGGATTAAACGGTACCCTAATCGACTCTGGCTCGGAGAGTTCAGACTGGAGCTTATACAGAAGTGTCATGCCCTGGTATATTCGTCAATGCCCGTTAAGTACAGGAAGTGCATTGCCCTACACTTACCTTTGAGTCAATGTTAGACATCTCGACATGAACCACATTGTCGTCGATATTCCCGAAATACTTGACATATGCGACCAGTGTACCAGGGTAGTTCTTCATGTACATGCATAGGGAGCTAGAGTTCGAAGCAACGGGGTCTGACATGGCTGCTGTAGAAAACTTGTTATGTTGCGTCGAATACGGTACTGACCAAGTTTCACTCGAGTGATTTCCTAAGGTCGGTATGACACGGGTTGAAATGCTGGCATGCGACGGCTCGGGGTGGCCCCAACACTCCGGCTCGGACGCTAGTTCGGATAATGAAAGATAAGACTTACTATTGCCGACCACCACTGATTCGTGTATCCCTACATCTCGTGTCACACTTGGTCCAGCACAAATCTTAAAGCTACTTAAACAAAATTAAATTATAATGCTCCAGAATGCCCTACATACGAGCTTGAATGAAGAGTGTGTAGTGCCCTGTTAACATTCCGAAGTAGGTCGGCTCCCAACAGAGTGGGAAGTACGAATGCCTTGCGCATCAATCACATCAAGGGCAAAGACCTCATAGTCTTGACACCTGATGCCTAAGACACAGCCAAATAAGAGATGCTCAAATTGGCTAAGAACCCGAAGGTGGTCCCTGTAGCCTGATCTTCATAGTTTGTGTTAAAACTCAACTCCTTCAAGTATTCAATGAACTTGAATGAGGTCACTCACCATTCGGAGCCACTAAGTAACTCCATCGAGAGAGTGCCTCTCGTTATCCAACTGGACGGCCCGCGCACGATGCAGAAAGAGTCGTCCTCGGCTTTTCGCCCCACGCCCTTCGTTTGCCTCGCCCCGTCATGTTAGTGTCACCTGAGGGCATACTTAGTTGCGGCCCGGAAGTTGTGTACTCGTGACAGCTTGAAAGTCCGTCAATGATTCAACACATGGTATACCGTACTTGTGGCAAACCACAGTACCAATGGACCGGTGTTTGCTGTAAGGCAATAAGCAATAAGTTTGATCAAGGCTTCAGTTTGAATGAAGACGTGAGCGCTGGGTGAGTACGAATGAAAGATGCGGACCCAGTTATGGAGGTTGGAGATATGTGGCCTTGGCGAAGCTTGGAGCTTGCCACCTCCATGGGTTCACTGGTAGTGAGGTATTCCTGTCAGTGGAACCAGCAGATCATTAGTACCATGCAATCAAACTGGATTACTGGCTTGAAGATCACGGCAAAAAGTATCTAGAGCGTCGCTATAATTTAGAAATAAGATAGTTTGTCTGTGGTATCGATACAAAAAAAGGAATACCGACAGAGAAACGACCCAGTTAAATTGAAAAGATATGTGCCCCTATCACAAGTGGGCATACACGCCGCAGACCCAAAAGTTGAAACAGATACACTGAAATAAATGACTGGGAGATTCGCGAGTAGAGACGGGTATCCGGCATGCTGTGGTAACATGAAGTAGGGGTCTGTACTAATCGTGAGGTCATGAATCTAAAGCATCAAAGTGAAACCCAGTGCAGAGACGCCCAGGGTTAAAGCAGTCTTCCAGCCGATTCTTTGCGCGGCTAGGCCGAGCCCACCGCCAGTTGCTTGCGAACCAGAGGATGGCGTCGAAGTTGGAGATGCAGTCGTGGTACTAACGCTAGCGTTCTAAATATCAATGCTGGGTGAGTCTGTTCTGCTACCAGTGGAACTGGCATTATTTGAAGCGTTACTTACGGAAGAGGTAGCACTCGGTGTTCCAAGTGCACTAACCGTAGCTGACATGGAACTCGTGGTACCAACGGTGGTAGTTGAAGTCGAATTGACGAGCGCGCCGGTACCCCAAGGAATGGCCTCACCGTCGGGCTGGGTGCTCTCAGCCGCAGGGACGATATCGTTCGCGTTGTCAGTGATCGTGAATCGTCCAGTCCAGACACTGTTGGTGGAAGCTGGAGAAGAAAACTGGTAAAAGTATATAGGCGAGTAGGGTGTAACCTGGGGGATAAGTACAATTACAATGTGTATAAAGGTGGAATGATACTGTCACCAACCTGAGGACAAGTATAAGAGAATGAGGTTTTCGTCGCGTCCGTTCCGTCAACGGTGCCGACCGCTATGAATAGCTGAAGTCAATATCTCATGACCGAGTATATGAACGCACTGGTCAAGTTGACCATGTCGAAGTTGTCTCCCGTCTTCAACTGAATGATCATAGTCTTCCACGCGCCAGTGGTATCCGGGTTCCAGGTAATAGAACAGGCCTGGCCCACGATGAAGACATCTCCAGGCCCAGGATTTGTTGGGTCTGGATCGGCATGTACGAATATAGCAGCAGATGAGGCCAAAATGGTCAATGCGAGGGCAGCAAGCATGTTTTTTGTACGAAAGGACTTGGAGACTGCTTTAAACTAGAGGTTGACAAAAATGTGACGTTGACGGTCGTGCCATCAGTAAGGTGTAGCAATAATGAATATATTGCGACTTACTGAAAGACTATGGTCAAGACGACTAGCAAGACTCAGAAAATAATAAAAGAGTGACTGGCGAAGTGCGATCGAGGGAGCTTATGGTGGGTGAAGGAATTTTAACTTCCCGAACTAAGTTTTTGTACCACGTACGTCAGACCGGCAGCTGTAACCAAGGTCAGCCTGATCGATCGAACATGCTGCCAGCCTCCGGGTTACATAAGTTTATCCATCACGATACGCTGCTATACGTGTGTTAGTGCCTGAGTCACGTCCACAAGCACCAATTATTGGGTGTGATCCACTGGCTGGTGGTTCACACACTGTGACACAACTTATTAGGGCCTCATGCGTGCAGGGCACGGTAGTCCGCTTCCTTCAACCTCTCCTCGACCGTTCGCCAACGACGAGCAAACAACAAAGTTATAGACAGCGACACCACCGTGCAAGCTGCTTCCCGATAGCATTTGAAGGAGGTAACGATGGAGACAATGGCTATGAGAAGGTGACGCGCCAAGCCAACTTGTGAGTACCGTGTCTTCGCTTTGCCCCGATCTCCCCGTCCTTGTCCCCAGCTCGCTTACTCTTGTGCCTCGCATATCCTTGCACGCCTCGGCCCCCATTCTTATGGTGCACTCGCTCACTTTTTTGCATATCCCGGTTACATATTGTACTGTACATCACGTCTCAAATACTGGCTGTTCCAGGATCGTGCGTGCAACGGCGCCCAATGTTCAAACCTTTTCGGCGGCAGGAGCAGCGATCCTCTTCTGTTCCTTTAGTTTCCGATCTGCATTTAAGGGAGGTACCAGTGAACATAAATACAATGTGCAACACCATCTCCAATGGAATGGCTCGATTTTTGGGTACGCGCTCTTACAAATCGTTGAATGTGACCCATCAGCGAGTTATTCGCTCTGACAACCGTGCGCGTGAACTCCGTCAAGACCCATGCTAGGTATTCAATAGACAACAGGTGCATGCTCGGTGTCACATTGTTTGTTGTCCCGGCCCATGGTGCGATGCCTTGTGTTAGACAGAACCTACACATTTATGTAGCATCACATCGTATCTGACCCATCTCTGTATGTCAATTGCTGGAATAAGTTATTTGTTAACTAGGTCTAAGGTCAGTTTCCCGAATGCACTGGACAGAACAGGAGACTCACTTGTCTCGGTAATTCCCCCAGTGTTGTCCATGTACCATGCAGCTCACATCAAGTTCAATGCTTCCTCTGGGTACTACCAATGCAGCGCACAGTGTATAAAATGCGTCACAGGGTGCTCGTGGCATCCAGAATGGGAGCTGGTGCTGGGGCAACCATCCGTCCAGATCAGCTTCCATACGATTCTATCTGGTAAGAATTCTGAGCGTTCTGTCTCGGGCTGATGCATCGGAGCGGTCTCAGCTGCACATCATCGTATCGCGATTTCGTCACCTTCAACATTGTACACATATTCAGTGCTTGTCGTCGCATCTCTATTGCACTTCCCCCTACTATGCCTGCCCTTCTCAGAACTCGTCAGTCTACATTTGCGACGAACCTCATATGGACCTTCCACGATAGTGGACACTCACCATCATATCTTCAGGACACGATATGTGTACACACAGTGTGCCTATTAACACCTGCAAGATGCCGAGCAGTTAAGAAAGACGCCACAGAGTTCCTCGGAAGATAAACACGGAGGAAAATTACACACCTATTGCACAGAAAATTGCAGGTGATGCAGTCCAATCGCAACACCCTCCATGCACGTGATTCACTCCCCAGTATCAACATCTCGGTAATGACGAACCAACGATAGCACGATGGTCGAGATAGCTGCGTTGGTATTTACGATAATCGAAACTGGGTGTTGGGCAGGCATGGTATTATTACGAGTGACGCAGATTGACGCTAAAATACGAGAAAGAGTAAGTCAAAAGCTGACAAGAGTAACCCACTTAGCGGAATTATGCTGCTTAGCTCACAGAAGCACGCAAGTGAATAGGCAAGTCGCTATACCTAAAAGCCAACACATTTAAATTGCGAGTTCACGGCCCCATACAACAGTACTAAAAAATATTCTTCGAATGATCCTGTAGAAGTTCCGATGGTAGTCAGCGATCACAGTAAGCGACCAGATCTAGCCCTAAAGACTACGTGGCAAAAAAGCATAGATCAGGTCGATTACTGTGCATGATGGAGTGCCGAGATTATCCAAACCAGGGCCAACAGAAGATGTGTATAGTAACATATCGTTCAAACGTTCTTACAGTTCATCACTGATGTTTCATGTTCATCCGAGAAATGCAGACCAACGCATTACACGTCATAGGCATGAATCTTTGAAAATGGATCACAACACGCTAACTGAATATACATGAAAACGTACCTCTGCCGCTAATTTTGTCCACTCCGTCAAGGACCTAAGATACTCGTCTTTGCCCTCATCCACCGGTATGTCTGGGGACCAAACAGTCAAGGAAGAAAACTTTGAGACCGGGGTCAGTCTTCGAATTTCAACACGCGAGTCATCATGATCTGCGTCCACCGCATCATCTTTATCTGTCTCCATCTGTCGGCTGCATGTTCGTGTCGCTCGACTCTTGCGTCTAGTTTGAGCTATTGTTTCAACCGTCCCAATGTCATCGCCTTGACTGTTTATATCACTGCTCGGTGCACTAAGGACTATGCCACCGTAACCTTGTGGTAGGTCCACGGTACGACCGTGTACCTGCCTCCCTCTGAATGCTGCGGTAAAGTTATTGCTGAGACTACCTTCTACTGGAGGTGCCGTGGGTGGCGCACGAGCCAATTCGCTTGATGGGCTGGCCTGAGTCCCAGAATCTGCGTCGGCTATCGAAGTGTCCACTCCTGCAGGACATGCCTGTGAATCCTCCTCTAATAAAGCAGACTGTGATTCGGCAATTGTAGTTAGGGAGGATTGGGAGTCTTCAGCAACAAGGGTGTTCTGGCTGTTGTCCGTGGACAGGTGTGTTTCGTTGGACGTGTTTTGTGTAAGGGAAAGGTACGGGCTAGAAGGCGTCGAGGGCTTGACGCGAAAGTATGTAGATATTGGTGCGGGCCCTGAGTGAGAGATGTGAAATGGCATGAGATTGGGCGAGCATTCTGGGAGGTCAAGAGTAACTGGTGATATTTCCATGCTGGTGGTGTTGGTTGGTTAATCAGAAGGGCTTTCATCTGAGACATCAACAAAAGCCGCACTATCATATAATCCCATACCACGGCGTAGAATCAGTAAAATAGGTACCAGATAGTACATACTGGTGCCAGGTTTGCACATACCTTTAAATTGACAAATATGCGACTGTTTGTATCAATGCTCGTTAGCAGGATGGTATGGCATGAATGAGATTTTACGGTTTGTATGTAATTCTACGCTATGTATGTCATTCTACGCTATATGTGCATTTTCACGATATACATGCAAATTTACGATATGCATGTGAGGTCCTTCATTAATTGCTGGCAGCTATCATAGCATCAATGCCAGGTTAGTAATTCACACTTGTCATCACACATGAGATATAAATGATCAATCTGGTTCCATTTACGAGCGCATGGTAGTACAAATCAGTGAATACGAGCAAGTCCGAGTAACACTGTAGTGCGAGTCGACAAGAATAGCAAGTCCCAATGAGATACACGATTCAGCGTCTTCGACGAGTGACCTTGCCACGCTTCGCAGCCGCCTTGCATTTTGCGACTGGTGCGGGAGTCGAGGGTGGAGGAGTCAGCCTGTCGTCATCGTCCTCGTCAGTATGACGTGAGCCTTGCGGTGGCGTTACCTGATGCTGCTGTTCAGGTGGTGGGGACAGACACTGACCAGAGGGATGTCTGCATGAACACTCGGGTGGAGGAGATGGGCATTCTGGGGGATTGTTGAGGAAGCCATCCATGTTGTCGGAGTCAGAGTTGTCAGATGCTGCAGCTGTGCATCTGCCGTTCTTTCTCCTTGAGGTCTGGGTTAGCCGAGGTGCCACCCTTTTGATGTATGAGAATGTGAAGTTGAGTGAAAAAATGAATGAACTTTGTCCAGTAGTTGAGTGTCTCTTTCACCCAAGGATGATCAATCCATTTCGGTGAGTCGACAGTTGACATGTGTAACTCATAGAGATTGAGTCCGGTGACTTCCGATGTCCATTGTTCTGCAGACAATAATGAGACAATCAACTGGACAAGTCTATATATCAGTGTCATAATGTAGGTAGGATAGTGACATACCTGGATAGCAGCATAGGCAATAGCAGGGGCGGAAGGTTCTGTCATACTATGAATGACACCTTTAGGGTGTTTGGTCCCTTTGCGTGATGTCAGATCAAGTGCTGTGAGAGGTCCTGTGAAAATAGTGCGGAACGTCTACAAGAACACAAATGAGAAGGTCATGAAATTAAAAAGAATCGTACCCATTTGAGAGGTTTGCCATGCAGAAACCCTGCGTGCTTCAGTTTTGGGTCAGCAAGCAATTCATTGTATAGACTTGATGGGAGTTTTTTGAATGATGGTGGTCTCTTCTTGCCATTGAGAATACCATCCATAAATGCTCTGAAATAAAGTGTAAGTGAAGGCAAAAAATGAAATAAATAGCATACTGAGGGTCTTCATCAAATTTCTTGATGTTGACCATAGGACAGAGTGCTTGCGCAGTAGATTTGTGGTGCCACCCATGGAGTGACTTGGGTTGTTCTTTGATGATAGGGGGGTCCAATGTGGCGCCAGGTCTCGAAGGGTCGTCAAGTAAAAATGATGGACAGAGGTCTTTCAGCTTGCAGGTGTCTTCAGCGCGCACCAAAGAAGCAGAATTTCGAAGCTACAAATGAAGCATGACTAAAAATATGTGCATATAAGCGCATATATCCACTCACTGCATTAATAAAGTCTTCTAGCTTGGCTGGATCTTCCTCGAAGCTGCTCAGTGTGGTGATGATGGCTGGGATGCACTTGATAAAGTCATGGAAAACATTGATGTGGTATAAGCGGTCCCTACTGAAGCCAACATGAGCTGAATGAATATATATCAAAAGAAAAGAGAGCTTACTGTTCTTTGGGTGTTTTGTCTTCATCGGTAAGTTCTTCTCCATGATTGGCCCTAATCCCATCATGGAATACAGCACAAATATCCACAAAGGGATTGTGGAGCAGAAGAAAGGCTCTTGCAGCCTTCAAAAAGAGATCTAAAGCATCACTATCTCATATTAGTGCTACCTATCAAATTATTTAAAAACCACTTACATTCTTTTCCTTTTCTGATTGCCTTGCATGTTTTCCAAGCTCTCAAGGATGGCCTTCATGTGATTGGGGCCTGGGACATTGGGAGGCAGAGATGGAGACAATGTTGAAGGCATGATGGACATAAGAGTTAGAGTTAGGGCAAGGTGTGTATGATAAGAATTGGAGTTCATATTTGTGTTGATGTGTTGTTTGGGCCTGTTACAGTCATGGTTGCCCCTATTCATTTTCTCCACTTATGTCTGTATTACGTCATGACCGTGCCACATTGTGCCATCACTAGACTTGTTTCTATATTTGTATCACATCGCGATCGCCATGGCCATCGTTAGATGACTCTTATCTCTGACTTGTCTCTTATCTCTGACTCATCCCTTATCTCTGACTCATCTCAAGTACCTGCCCTAAAGACAGTTACGTCCTATATAAGTTAGGTTATGTACTGAGAAGATCCTTACTTTAATCTTACTAGGTTTTCACCTGAAACATCCTTTGCTTAGGACCTCCAATCCTAAGTCGTCTGAAACTGATATTCAAGCCAAAGACACTCTCTTTGACTTGTCTTATGACCCTTACATTTGTAAGGTCTTGATTCAACTTCAGTCATTGCTCTTATCGAGTAACTGTTGTTGCAACTATCCTAGTTCGTAACAGGGCCAGTCATGTGATGGTCATGATGGCTTTGATTTACTACTAGTGGTACATGTATGTGCAACAATGATATACAGACTGGTACTGAAGCAGTATGACGGAACAAGACAACGATGCTACAAAGTAAGATGTCTAAACAGTTTCATCCTCAGCTACTACAGGGGCAGGAAGAATTGAGAGTTTATGGAAAGCTGAGATTGGTATGTCGTCAACACCTCTGTAGCAAGAGTGGTGAGGGGGCCGAATGGTATCTTTGTTAAGAACCATGCTCAAAGGAGAGAGAGACTGACTCAGAGGGGCTTGGCCTCAGCTCATATGCTGTGCCCCTTACCTGAGTATGTGCCCTTCATTTCAGAGGAAGTCTGATGATGGTCTGACAAAGTCTGGAGGACTTCCGGAGGCTGGCTACTCTGGTGGAGAGTGTGGGAGGACTTCCAGAGGAGCGTGGGAAACGTCCGGAGGAGCGTGGGAGAGTTCCAGAGGAATGCAGGAAGTGCTCAGGATAGTTCCCACTGCAAGGTAATACTTCTACAGGAAAACAGGATGGAAGGATAGGAGGTCCAGAGGACAGGAGGACAAGATGTCTGGAGGTCTGGAGTATGGAGGACAGGAGGTCCAGAGGTATGGGGGATGGAACATCCGAAGGTATGGAGGTACAGAAGACAGGAGGTCCAGAGGTCCAGAAGGAATAGGGGCTACATTGGATGAAGTCTGATGCAGAAGCAAGCAGAGGTAGACTACCCTAAGGTAGAGTTGGAGGGACAGGAAGTGGACCTAAGTCCAGAAAGAGGGTAAGTGCTGGAAAGGCAAGACTCCAGCCTAGGGAAGCAATCCCTAGACTTGGGATAGAGACATAGGGGACAAATCCGAAGGTCTGGAATTCTGGCCTAGGGAATCCATCCCTAGGCTTTATGGAAAAGGACAAACTCAGATGGACTGAAGTCCAGATGAAGATTGGGCAAGTCTAAGGTGATATTCAGACTGAGGACTCTACTGTAGTTGTACAGGGGTTATATACTAGAGGCTATCTGAGAGGATCAGTAAGCAAAGGAGTAAGGCTATGTACGAGCATGCAGAAACACATTGGTAAGTAAGACAGAACATAAGTAAATGAACTTGGAGATGAAACTAGTACAAGGATCAATCAGCAAGATGGAAACAGAGATAACCAAGAACCGGAAAGGCGGAGATGCCTAAATGGGGATAGGTGCAGGATCTCGGATAGAGGGTGGGAATAGGTCCGGAGATAGTACAGTTAATATCTGGAGGTCCAGAGATCTGGGGATCTGGAAGGCAGGGCAGAAACAGGACTGAGATATGTGAGGTGGTGGATGTAGTCCAGAATCTGAGAGGAGGTAAAGTCCAGATGTCTTGCTGGATGGAATGTGCATAGGGTGGACAGGATGGGGGATCCAGGAATGAGTTGGATATGGGGTCCGGAAATAGGTCCGGAAAGCGTGGGAATATGATGGGATCTATGTCTGGCATGTGGGATATGACAATCTTCATCTCTGAATTTGCATTTTTTGAGAGTTGAGGGGTTTTTGGGGATACTGATGAAGTGTACTGGAGTTGTGCTGACAAGCTGCATGTCATCCCTGAAGGTACGTTGAAGTCAGACACAGAACTCTAAACTGTGATGCAACATACTTAGACTCAGAGGGCATATCAGAAACCAACGTGGTGTCAGCATCATGGGTGGTACTAGCACAAGTGGAGGAGCTTGAAACAGATGATATGTTAGTTTGTACACTCACAGTGAGCATGGAAGCAGGAGCATACCTCTTGCAAGTCGTGACTGTCACTGTCTTGGTGTCACTGTCCTCATCCTCAACCCAGACTCCTTTTGAAGCATTTTTGAAATGTATCATTAGTTTCTGTAGGATCAATGTGTGTTAATCAATGACGCAGATATTGTAATATATGCACTTACTACAGGTCCTGGCTTCTTGGGGGTGAACTTGACCATGTATGTTGGCCAGTCTATGAGAATGTTCTTGATGTCCATGGCAATACAATTGCCATGGACATTGAGCTTCTCACTGCAGTCAACAGTGAGAGGTAGTGTAGTACTAGACATTAGAAATCAGAAATTAGGAAAATGTATAAGAAAAAAGAGATAAAGCATCAGCACTGGAAGTTTAGCACCATTGGAATTTGCCAGTGGAGTTTGAATTGTTTAATGTGTGATTTGGCTTGTCTTGTTAGTACTACCACTAATCATATTCTCTGCGTCTAGTGCTCCCTCAGACCGTTATTACCACTTGTGAGTATTTTCTTGTTTGTTTTCTTATGTACATGTGCAAAGCTAATGAGTTTTTTAGAATCACTCGTTGTCATCTTCCCAGCCACAGCCATCTGTCCTCAGTCTGTGTTGAGGCTTCATGTGGGGGTCAACAGGTGCTTGGTGCATGTAAGCATTTATTTTATTTGCAATTTTTGCTTTTCTTCCTGGCCAACACGCCTCTTGAAGGTGACTTGGACCCAGAGGCCATTGAGCTGCAAGGGTATGCCTCTTGGAGGTGAACCTGAGCAATGAAGCTTGATGGTATTTGATTTTTATTATTATATCTACTTGTATCTTTGAATATAGCTGCAACTGCTTGCTCTTATGGACAGTTTGAAGGCTCAGTCTAATATTGTTGTCATGGCTGGCTGATACACACTCTGGCATAGCCTCTCTTTGCTCAGAAGCTGCTATGCAGCAGATGCTACCTCTGACCTGTCTCCATCTGCGCATCACTGATCCGGTTCAGTCTGAACACATGCATCACTGCCCAGTCTGTTGGGATTGTGCGATCATCTGCATATGTAATAAGTTTTTTTTGAATTCAGTCAAGTGATTCTGTCTGCAGCATGACTGGAAGCTAAGATTAAGTATGAGATTGACAAATTATCAGACTGCAGCCCTATCATCAATTGCTCACCTTATATCACTATCATTTGCAGGTGAGTGATAACTCCACGACCCCTCCATGACCCATGCCCTCAACTCACAAGTGCCCAGGGTGTGGGCACACTTTTGATGACAGTCGATCCCTCTCTACACACAAATGATACTGTAAAAAGGTCATTGGTGCTGCCTCAGATACACTCAAGAAATGATGCCACAATATCAAAGTCCAGGAAGCTGCAAAGGTTCAGTGCCAAGAAGAGGAAGAAGATGCTCAATGTAGGCGAGATCAGGGTCAACTTCTATGAACTTTTTGTCCCTGACCTCCTGCATGAGTTCAAACTGGCATGTGGAAGGCAGTGTTCACTCACCTTCTTCGCATTTTATATGCACATGGTGAAGAGGCCATTCAAAAGCTGAATCAGAGGTGAGGTATCATTTCACATGTGTGAGAGTCTTCTCATGGCATCCACGAAGATTTCGTCAGGTTCCAACCTTTGGTTGCGGAACAATACATCGTTTTAGCAACAATGCTTCTGGAATGAAGCACCTCACAGGGAGAGACTTTGAAGACTTATTGCAGGTACATCTCTTATTCAGTAGTTTCCAACAACTATTTATGTTATCTTCAGTGTGCTATACCAGTATTCGAGGGCCTCCTCCCATCACCCTACAATGAGTCTCTCCTTGACCTCTTATTTGAGCTTGCTACATGGCATGGTCTGGCGAAACTGCAGATGCACACTGACACAACTCTCAACTTCCTCGACTCATCAACAACACGACTCAGTCAGTTTCTCAGGAGCTTCATGAAGGCAACAGCAAAGGAGTATGTTATGAAGGATCTTCCAAGCAAAGAAGTGGCATGAGGTCGTCGTAAAGCCAACAAGGCTGCAAAAGGTACTGGAGGCTTGACTGACCAGGGACATCAAAGGTCTGGTCAGCAGATGAGCGGTCCAAAAGTATGACACTTTAATTTTTAAACTTATAAGCTCCATGCCCTTGGTGACTATGTGGAAGCAATCCAGAAGTTTGGAACAAGTGATAACTACTCAATGCAGCTGGTATGTTTTTGTTTTTGTAACTACACTTACTTACAAATTTGTTACAGGGAGAATGTGAACACCGACAAGTCAAACAGTTCTATCCTCATGTGAGTAAGGTGAAATTCACTGCTGGCATAGCTAAGCAGCAACATCGTGAGTGTATTCTGTTCAAGATGGCAGAAGGATCTCTCTATGAAATGAAGGGAAAGGGTAAGCAAGATGCAGGCAAGGAGAAGAGCAAAGTACTTCAGTTGTCCTCTCCTGATGCACCTGCACTGCGCTTTGAGGACTCGGAACCACTGCCTTACAGTGATCTGAAATGCCACTATCACATCTCCACCAGCACTCAGTATCACATCAATATATACAAGTGGCTGGCACAACATGAGAGTGATCCCACATTGAATGTAAGTTGTCTCATCTACATGGAATAGAAGTCTACTGACAATGCACACAAGAACTTTCTACCTCGACTAAAAGACCATCTACTCTCTTGCCTCTGTGGGCTAGAATATGATGGAGACAATGTCTTCTTACTTGAGGTGTCTTATATAAAAGTGGTCAAAAGGCAATGACACCACAATTACACTTTTGATAAGACTGAATGCTGCCAACAACCTCAAGTTCGCGGTCTACGACTTTTCTTCTTTTGTGGTAGATAACACAGCATTCGTGGGAGGTTACCTGCTACACAGCCCAGTGATTTTATTCTACCTGGTTGTCATATCCTGTATGCCAGACATAGATCCCATCATATTCCCACGCTTTACGGACCTATTTCCGGACCCCATATCTGACTCATTCCTGGATCCCCTATCCTGTCCACCCTATGCACATTCTGTCCAGCAAGACATCTGGACTTTACCTCTTTTTGGATTCCAGACTACATCCACCACCTCACATATCTCAGTCCTGTTTCTGCCCTGCCTTCCAGATCCCCAGATCTCCGGACCTCTGGATATTAACTGTACTATCTCTGGACCTATTCCCGCCCTCTATCCGAGATCCTGCACCTATCCCCATTTAGGCATCTCCACCTTTCCGGTTCTTGGTTATCTCTGTTTCCGTCTTGCTGATTGATCCTTGTACTAGTTTCATCTCCAAGTTCATTTACTTATGTTCCGTCTTACTTACCAATGTGTTTCCACATGCTCATACATAGCCTTACTCCTTTGCTTACTGATCCTCTCAGATAGCCTCTAGTATATAACCCCTGTACAACTACAGTAGAGTCCTCAGTCTGAATATCATCTTAGATCCTGTTCTACTTGCCAATCATCTTCTGGACTTCAGTCCATCCGAGTCTCATCCTTTTCCATAAGGCCTAGGGAAGGATTCCCTAGGCCGGAATTCCAGACCTTCGGATTTGTCCCCTATGTCTCTGTCCCAAGTCTAGGGATTGCTTCCCTAGGCTAGAGTCTTGCCTTTCCGGCACTTACCCTCTTTCTGGACTTAGGTCCACTTCCTGTCCCTCTGACTCTACCTTAGGGTAGTCTACCTCTATTTGCTTCTACATCGGATGAAGTCCGATGTAGCCCCTATTCCTTCCGGACCTCTGGACATCCTGTCCTCCGGACCTCCTATCCTTCCATCCTGTTTTCCTGTAGAAGTATTACCTTGCAGTGGGAACTATCCTGAGCATTTCCTGCATTCCTCCAGAACTCTCCTGCGCTCTTCCAGACATTTCCTGTGCTCCTCCGGAAGTCCTCCTGCACTCTCCACCAGAGTAGCCAGCCTCTGGAAGTCCTCTGGACTTTGTTGGACCATCATTGGACTTCCTCTGAAATGAAGGGCACATACTCAGGCAAGGGGCACAGCATATGAGCTGAGGCCAAGCCCCTCTGAGTCAGTCTCTCTCTCCTTTGAGCATGGTTCTTAACACTGGTTGTAAATAGGAGTTCTACAATACAAGCCTAGCTTTATCCGGCAAGACAGATAATGTAGAGTATGTAGATAAAACTTTATCTAGTCTTGTGTTTGACTAGACAAATAGAATAGATTCTGTAGGTAAGTCTCTCTAGTCCTGTGTTTGACTAGATAGAGAATAGAGTTTGTGGGTGAGTCTCTCTAGTCCTATACTTGACTAGACAGAAAATAAAGAATAGGTGCATACTATGCACAGAACTAGGTAGCAAATAATGCTAGATATTCCCCTGCCTTGATATACTAAAGGACTTATCAAAGGGAACTAGGTAGAAGCTGATTGGATCTCCCTGCCTAAATGCAAAGGGGTTAATCCAAGGAAGATGATATGATACAAGAGCAGATGATCCAACAAAGGAATCTGCAGGCACAGATAATATAGCTTGACTTGGTACTTCTAGTCCTCTGAAACTATATGTCAGATGCACACTAGACAGCACAGGTACAGTCAAGAAAAGAATAAATGATCTCAGAGCAAGTAAACCAAATGTACTTGGTCTGCACTTCCTGGCTAACACAAAGAGTGTCAATGTCAGAGAAAGTGGAAGAAGTGGAGGTTCTTTTAAATGATAAAAGAGATTCTTATTTTTTTGTGGGTGGAGAAGTGCTCTCCTTAAATACATGAGATGGGAGAAACTATATAGTACCAAGAAATAAGGTTGGAAAGAGAAATGACATCAGAGTTGCATCATAAATGACCTCATTGTGGAGCAAAGTGGAGCAAAAGTGGAGCCAAGTGGAGCAGGACATTCTAGCATCCAATGACATCACTATGACATCATAGATGGCTTCATAGTATCCAACAGAATATTCCAGAAACTTCTGTGGAGCTATATGACATCATCATGACATCATACCCTGCAGGTACATTTTGTGGAGTCTCTGGGAGGTCAAAGAATCAAGTAGGTAAAGAAATGAAAGAAAAATATGAAGAAAATAAAGTAGAATAAATCATAAGACAGAACAAATCAAAACACTGGCTTTTTAGATAGGGTTTTGGTAGGCTTTTATCTTTTCTCCTTGGTTATTTCTAGTCAAAGTAAATAAGCCAAATGATAGGCAATAACCTAAGCTTTTGTATGACTATCAACTTTGACCAGGTCAATGTATGATTTCTTCATCATATTTGACTTTTCTTCAACACACCATATTTTTTTGCATGATTGGAGCATGCAAAGTGAAATATTGCACTTGAGTCTGCACTCAAAGCACATTTTGTGTAGTCTGAGGACTAAGCTAACAGACTATGGAAATGTGGGATGATATGTCATATACATGTTCTGCATGATTCCCAAATCATGCAGGACAACGAGAGAGAATTCACATCTGCTGAGCGCAGCACCATCATACTTGTCCATGAAAAGATATTTTGCCACAAGGTTCTCCAGGTCAATTACACAACTTACAACTTGTGCCATAATCAAGATTCCCTTAATCCTCAGATAAATGCTGATATCATGCTCCTTGCACACGAGGATGATGGTGATGGCCACCCTTACTGGTATGCTCGAATTCTTGGCATATTCCATGCACTCATTATTCACACTGGCAAGCACTCAAAATCCCGTGAACCCCAGCAAATGGACTTCCTTTGGGTCTGATGGTTCAGCCAAGATCCTGGAACAGAATGGCACCCCTACACTGCTGGTTGGAAGGTGAAGAGGCTTGAACAGGTAGGTTTCATTCTGAATGATGACCCTGGAGCCTTTGGTTTCCTGGACCCACAGCAAGTCATCCATGGAATTCATCTTGTCCCTGCATTTCACTATGGTCACACTGAAGCCCTTCTTCTGCCCTCAATTGCACATCCGACTCACAACAACAATGAAGATTGGACCTTTTTTTATGTTAATATGTAAGTTTTCTCATCTATTAGTGCCACCATGTCTTACCTTAGAATCCCATTAGGTTCGTTGATTGAGATATGATGATGCACTTTTGTGGAGGCGGAGTTGGACACAAATCCACCTGGCAAGCCACTGACTGGTTCTTATCTGACCGTGACAAGTTGGACAAGGGAGGGGAGACCGATGCTGAAGAAGAGTTCAATGATGAGATGGATGATATGAAGATCAAAGATGCAGAGTTTGATTTGGATGAGGGAGAGTTGCGTGGTGATGCTGAGATGGAGGATACCGAGATTGAAGGTGTGGAGCAGCCAGGGCTTGATTCGGATGAGGAGGCAGATGGGGATGAGATAGAAGAATATGGGTATGATGGCATTGAGGAGATTGAAGAAAGTGATGAGGAAAGTGTATCTCAGGCTGGCAGCATCATGCAAATGGCTTAAATTATTTTACGCTAAATGAATGTACATACAAGATGCTTGCCAGGCTGGTAGAGTCATACAAACACCTTGAATTATTTCACCCCAAATTGATGCACATACAATGTCCATAGCAGGTTGGCATTGGAATAGAATAGGTAAATTAGCATATTTGGCCATTAATGATTTTGTCACTTTTGTTGATGGAATTCAAGCTCTATGTCAATTGTCACATGATCCTGCTACATTCATTCAATGACTTTGATTATTCTGAATCACTCACCTCAGGCAGTACTTTTCAGGACCTATAAAGGGTCTAAGAGACCTGGTTTCTATGTTGTGGGAAACTAGTCTCTGAGACCCACCCTCCCACCATCTAATTATAGTTCATGCTCTTGTATTCCTTCACGGGCCTCCAGCACCTCCCTGCGCCCCTCTACTGTAGCCCTCTCAATATCCTAGTACTACTCAATCCACCATTTAATGCTCTTGCATTTCTGGGCACCTCCCTACCCACCCACTTCATGTTGTGATAGGCTAAGTACCATGAGGCACCATGCTGCATCCACAACGATTCCACATGGTCTTAGTATGCACATAATGTTAAATACAGTTTGAGTCTATGTACTAGCATTCTAACATTCGCCCATTCACCACTCCCCAGCAATAATGCATTGTGCAGACCAAATGTCAGTGCCAGCCTCCAGCCGGGGGCTTGGGAGGCATTCTGTCAGTCCCCACAAGTCTCGAGACAAGAGAAAAACTCAAACCTTCGTCATTATCCCTGGCACAGATATCAAACGTTGTGAACTTGCCCTACACATGGAAGCACTTGTCAATGCAAGTTCAACAGAGCCAACCACTACCCCTGCACTCAATTTGACCAGTTCTAACATTGACATGACTATAGACCAATTAAACAATGGTGACGAATGGGTGTATGAATCAGATCATGCTAAACCAGAACTTCAACATCCACCCTTTCTGAATCAGTGCGACAAGACATGATCAATTGAGTCCTAACGCCATATCCTTTCTGACAAGACATCATACAAGCTCTATGGAAATTGGACAGGAGTTATCCCCACCTTAATTGAACCTCTCTTAACTTATCTTGCAAGAACTTTTGGACAACCACTTGAGAAGTTGCATCCTATCATATCTGCATGTGTTACTAGTTCATGCACTCAAAAGCACACAACCATCATTTGCCTCTTCTTTGACCATGTGTGTATCCAGGCTTCT